ACGACTTTGGTGGGAATTTTGAATTTGTTACTCCATCCTACCATCTTCCACAAAGCAAGAAGGCTGCTCGATCAAACTATCGGACTCGATCGTCTTCCTTCCCTGAAAGACAGAGAACATCCAGACCTTCTCTACATTGAGCACATTGTCCAAGAAATAGTTAGATGGCGACCTCTATCTCCCCTCGGCGTCCCACACAAGAGTCTCAAAGATGACATCTACAACGGCCTGTACATTCCCCAGGGCACAAATGTATTCTTCAACACCTGGGCCATGAGTCGCGACGAGTCGGTGTACCACAATCCCGATTCCTTCAACCCCGATCGATATCTTCCCATCGCGCACGGCGGACCTGGAGAACCGTATCTCCAAGGACCGTTTGGGTTTGGGCGCCGAATCTGCGTGGGTCGTCATCTGGCATTGGCGAGTGTGTGGATTGGGTTGGCGACTTTGATCTCGACGGTTGATGTTGCGAGGGCGGTGGATTTAAAGGGGGAGGATGTTGAGCCCGTGGTGGGCTTTACGACGGGGTTGTCGAGGTATGGATTCCTTTTTTTTTAATTTGGATTTGGAATTTGGAAGTGGAATTTGTATTATCATGTGTTTGAAACTGTCTACTTACTGATTATTACGATTATTGATTTAGCCATCCTCTGCATTTCGATTGCAAATTTACTTCTCGCTCGAAGGGAATGGAATCTTTATTACATTCTTCTTTAAATTTATCGTAGATTAGATTGTTGTAATGTAAATACGAATACATTTTCATTTTATTTTCATCTTCGTATGTTAGTAATATAATAGTTAAATCAAATAGTCGATCTTTATTTAGTAGGATTATATATATAGACTATCTGTTATTATAGTTGTAATTTTAATTGTAATTCCAATACTATAATACATATAAGTATTCCTATTCATATATATCGATATCTCTAAACTCTTTTAGTATCTATCTGTATTTCGATTAGATTAGATGATTAAAAATCTCATAATAGAGTTTAAATTTATATGAGCAAATTGAATCTTATACTTCGATATTGATAATAATAATGATAATAATATATAACGTGGTTTATCACCGAGTGGCCATATCACCGAGTGGGCCACTTTCACCTCAATTCATACCTTCAAATCTATATTATTCAATAAACGATTAAATCAATTAATTAAAAACTATTAAGAATCTAATAATCTAGAATCTATTATATTATTTTGATAGGTTCTTGTATTATAACCTGTCTTTCTGTATTTATTATAATATTGAATAAAAAGTACTTCTTTATTAGAATTCCTCTCTTTTTAATGTTTATTGTGTTGAATCTGAATATTAATCTTTTACTAAATAATATATTAAGAGTCTCTTATTCAATAAATACTATCTTTTTGATGCAATTAGGTTTTTTTTGTATATTAATACTTATTTAATATCTTATTTGCTTTTTGAAATATACAAATCTTTGTATTCAAAAGTATATTCTTATAAACTAATTTCTTTATACCTTTAGCTAAAATTAATATAATCTCGAATATAGGTATAGAAAAGTTTAATTGATATCGAGTTATTCGAGATTTCATTAAAGTTGATTAAAAAAAAGCTTTAATTAAATTATAAGGGATTTAAGAGATCTATTGATTTAGATCAAAAAAGGGGGGGATAGGTATACAAATTCAATATCCAATTTCGAAAGTATAGTATTAGGATTAAAGGGTATTAAACCTGCTTCTCTGAATTCTGATTTTATATTCTAAAAAGTAATTGATTTTTTGTATATAGTTTTAAAAGCTATAAAGAATTTAATCTTCAAAATATAATTGATATATACTCTTGATAAAATTTATCAATTTGATTATTATATGAATATTTCAGATTTCTAAAAACAGTTTATATTAAATGATTTAAATTAAATGATTTGAATATAGTGGTAGATTCAAGTATATAATATCATTCTCTTTGTAATATATCTAAAAGCTCTGTTTTATAACTTTCATACCCGTTTAATATTAATATTCGATATTTACCCTTTTTTCGATTCTTAGTATATTTATTGAAGTATTTCAATCATTCTAAATCTATCTCATTATTTATCTATTTATTAGATCTAGATTTAATAGCCTAATCTATAGGAAGATTGGTTTCGGTATATTAATTGAAGAGGTGAACTTGTTCCTAAATTATTAGAAATGGGGGAATAGTTTTTACTCTCTCTATTTCTACATATTATTACTATAATCTATTCTTGATTGTCTGGTTATATTGATTTACTTCTGCTGTATCTTTCGGTATTAATAATAACTATTGTTGTAAATATAATCCCTATTATAAAGCTTATTTTATCGAAATTATAGAAATCGCCATCCAAAATGCTGTATTTCGCTTGTATATTTGTAATCACTCAAAACTAATCTTCAATAAGCTTAGGATCTTCATAGAAAGCTTTTTGGAAATTATAAATACAATTAAAATGCATCTTTAATTCGATTCGACATTATACGAATCAATATGCCCAAAGCTTTCCAATACATTCGAACTTCTCGATTTAAGAATATAATTTGCTATATCTTCTATATTCTTGATATTGGGTGGAAATCCTCTTGAATCCATATCAAGTATATATTCAATAATCATATCCTCTTCCAATTCTATAATTTTATAGCAATTTGCTCGAATCTCTGTATATAGAGTTAAACCGTTTATTCTATGGCTAATCGTTGTGTGAGGTATATTATATAGCTTAGTAACCTTTTGAATACTTAATTTTTTATCTTTTTGAAAAGCTTTAATGGTTAAAGTAAATATATTTCTTTATTCGTAGATTCCATAATAAATGATTAATAAAATGTATATTGAATATGAAGAGTGCGAATTGAGGTGAAAGTGGCCCACTCGGTGATATGGCCTACTCGGTGATAAACCACGTTATATATATATTTATATTTATAGCTTATAGCTTATAACTTATAGTTTAAATGTTTGAATGTTTTTAAAACTTTTATTTATCTATTTATCTAGAGATCCTCGCTTTCGAAGTTTCTCGAATAGAATTAGAAGGAGAGAAGCTAGGGTATTGAGGTATTAATAACTAGACTAGATGAGTAGATGCCTAGTTGAAAATAATATATTGTTTTTAAATCAGATTATGTGATATTATCATCTACAAGAAACAACGTATAATCCATCCCTTAGTATCTCCATTTTCTCTATCCTAGTAATAGAACTATCGAGTAAAGTTGAGTTTACAGTTATTGGGGATGTGGATGAGTCTATTACTACTTGCGCATGCTTGGATATTGATTTACTCCAAAGAAGTGTATTTGATTTTGACATTCGGGTTGGAATCTCATCGTGAGATATTATGGTGCTTTAGGATTCTAGAGAATGGGCGGAAGATTATTTGGATGTGGTGGTTGGCGAGGAGCTAAAAGATCTTCAATGTCAGGTATAGTAGTCGCGTAGTATAGCATATGGTGTATTCTGTGTCAAGCAAATCGGATATATGGATATCATGATCATGACTATGATATAATTACAATCTATTCTTTTCTGCCTGAAGAATTTCTGTAAGCTCGCTTGTTTTCGATGTGTTTAGATGAGAAAAGGGATAGTGATATGGTATTATATGTAAGTTCTAGGGGAGTAGACTTACTCTCGGCTAGAATCTGAGAGGATTGAGTTTGTATCTTGACCTTCCGTAGCTTCTTATTCCGGTCTAGTGAATTGTATTTTGGAAGGATTGTAGTGACCTGTTATTTTAGATCAAAGGGCATAATCATAGAGAAGATTTGATTGTTTGAGATTTAGCTATAAAAAAGGGATTGGGATACTAACAAGTCCTGGTAACCCCTGTGGTAGCATATTCTGTAGTTGACGAAGTGATCGCTTTATTAACTACGATAAAATTTTCAATATTTAATATTATATTGAAAATATTGTTTTTAAAGTACTAATATGATTGATTTTATATTTGTATATAATGAAGTTTATTTCATTCAATAGAGTTTTAATGAATTTTTTGAATTTCAAAAGTTGAGTGAAAGTTTTAGCTTAAAATAACTACTTTCAAGTAAAAAGGTTTATTTGTATTAAATTCGATTAATAATTGAAGAATATAATTATATAGATTAGAGTTGATTAGTATTTTCGTTTAAATAGTATATTCTGTATTATATAATATAGTAATAAAACTTCTATTTGAAGAATAAATTAAAAGTGAGTAGTAAGAAATAAAAGCTTTTTTCTTTTTAAACTTTTGACTAATGCTTTCTATTTATTCTTTAGCTTCTATACTTGTTCCCCTTCTTTTTCTAGCTTTTATATTTGCTTCCCTTTTTATCCTTTTAGCTTTTGTATATATATCCTTCTGTTTATTTGTTTTATAACTTTAATATTCAATATTTGAAATCTCTAAGGGATTTGAAAGATTTTCATTTTTTAAAAAAAAAATCAATAATAAATGGTTTTCTTTTTAAATTGAAAATATTCGTTGCTAACGAAGTATTTATTTTGTTAACAATGAATAAAACATTAATTATATATTATATATTAAAAATTCATATAGGGATTTATATTAAATTTCTTTCGTATCTAGGTATTAACTTTGCTATTACAAGGAACGTAGAATACTCATGCTCATTCATGGCTCGCTTCACTATTGCGCTTCATTTCCATATACAGAAATGGTAATGGAGAAGAAACCTTTACTGGATGGTTCATGCGAAATGTCGCGGAGATGGGAGGCGGGCAAACCAGTTCATGATTTTCAAATGAGATTTGCGAATTGCATCTCACATGTCCAATATTCCAGATCATCTATGTATCTTTTTCACCTACTTCAGAACTTTTTTATTTAGCCAATAGACTAATCTTATCTTCTCTATTCCCAAATGTAATCTTACCAAATATTGACCACCACAAAAAAGGTTCATGAACTTCGTTTCTTCATTCTATCATTTTGTCATCCCATATTACACCCTATACAACCCCAGTCCTACCACCTTCCTCAAGCACAATTATTAAGATCCTCCTCACAATACACAGCTTGCAACTGAATCGCATAACAACCACTTGGAATTTTCGCTCCAGCCGTCGTATAAAAAACACCAATAACGCCAGTGCTAGAATCTGTGTTCGTCAAGCAAGCTAGATGATCACACATTAGCAACCAAGCCATCAATCTCCAGACACATCACAAATCTCCTCTCATGAAGAAGGGGAAAAAAAACTTACCATAGAAAGCTCCCGCGCCATTAACCAACAAATTCCCACTCTTGTCCAAACTATAGCCCTTCTGCGGACTCGCCCACACATCTAGCTGTACCCAGCTTCCTGCCGCGCCGTGGATGAAATACGCGGGGATAGCATCATCTGATGGATCCATCCCGATGAATGATAGTACGCCGTTGGTGATTGTTCCTCCGACGGGAAGAGTCTGGAGGGGTTGGAGACCGGCGAGGAGAGTCCCGGATACGGATCCGACGGATCCGAAATGCACGTTGTTGTAGGGGGTGTAGGTGGATTTGGAGAGGAGGGAGAATTTGGCGGTGGTGGCGGCGGGGATGAGAGGGAGGACGGTGCTGAGGGAGAGGAGGGTGATGGGGAATTTCATGGTTGTGGTTGTGGTTTGGAGAATTCTGGGGTGGTGTTGGTTGATTGGGGAATGGAGATTGGATGATGGATGCTGGATGGATAGATGAATAGTAACTGGTAATCAGAAAGTCGGAGACACTCAAATAAATAGACAATCCATCCACTTTATAGGTATAAAAGCCACCTCCCTCATCTCACCACCTACCAGTCTGCACTTGCAGGCTTGCGACAGCATGTCAACTTCAATGGCATTCTCACCCTCACCCTCATCCCAGCCCGTTCCTCTTCCATCCCATCACCAATTTTCCACAAATAAAGAGGTGATATCTTTCATCGCCAAGAGAGAAAAAGACGCACAGTAATCATGTATAGTAAATCCTTCATCCCATCTCCATCCCAGACCCTTTCACGAGTCTATTGTAAATACATACATACATCCATACATATGCTTACTATTAGCACTCCCCCCCCTTCCCCTCCCCTCACCCATCCCTTCCATACAAAACAGGCAGGCAGGCAAACAAACAAACAAACAAGCAAGAAAGCAAGCGGTCAACCGCCCCAAGCTTGGCACCCGGCAGGAAGCCGCCCGAGAAGCGGACCCATATATCCAGATCGTCTGCCCTGCCCTGCCCAGAACACCTAATCAATCATCCACGCGAGAATCCGAGCGTCCGGGGTACCATACACAGTAGTCTAAACTTGCACATTTATATCCACAAACCACATCTACATGCATACAAACGTCCGTACGCTGAAGAAAATTTTATCTACCCCCCCCCCTTTCCCCCCCCGCACACCCCGAAGAATGGACCCGGACCTTGAATATCTATCTATCTATCGATCGATCGATGCCAAGAATACAAGCTACAATAAGCATAATCGATGCAGACGATGTGCATTAGCGAGAAATCTCGTATTGGGGATGCAATGCATGCCTATCTGTTCGCTTCGGAGATCACGTACAGTACCTACCTAGGTATGCAAGTACGTATCTCGGATGCCAAGATTTTGCTGTTTGTCAGCTTGGTCGGAGAGATTCTGGACTTCCTTTTGGTGATGAGTTCGGGATGGGGAGATGTAAGATGTGGGATGTGAGGGGTGGAGCCACTTTAAGGACGTATGGAGCGTTGTTGCTTTGAGTGTAGAGGTACCGCTCGTGCAAGTTAGCATTGTGCTTACAGAGGAAAGTCTTTTATTTTTCGCTGTGAACAAGTAATTCTATTATTTTTGTGATTCCCCTCTCGTTTATATTATTTAATTAAGTAATTAACTAGGTGTTTTTATAGGGGAATAGATATAGTACAAAGGTTACCGAAGCTGACCGCCACCAGTCATACATTTTTCACATATACAATTATAGACACAATATATCATCCGCTCCTCGATTGCCCCTGACTTCTCGCTTCCCTTCCGTGTAAAAAATGAAGCATGCCCAAACGCCACGCTCATGCATTACTATCTCCAAATCATTTTAATCATTACCCATGTTGCCCAGTAACCGGGGTTTTGCTATCGTATTTGTCCAACTCACTTCCATCCCCGGAGTATCCTATCCTATCTCGATTGTCATCGATGATACGGGCGTATTCGATTAGAAGTCTGAAGAGATAGATCTGTTTCGAGGCTAAATTAGCACAAGCCATTCACGGTGTCTGTAATTTAATACGGGAATAAACTCACCTCAATATCCTCCTTTCTTAAAACCTTGTTGGCCCATTCGCTTCCCTGTCTCCCTAACTTTCTTGCCTCGAAATCATGCCTTTGTACATACGGCTTTCCATCTCTTCCTTTCGAGTCTGCATCTCCTAATCCAATGAAATACGTAAGGATACTATACAACTCATCATACCGATTATCCAATGGGACAAAATGTCTCCATTGAAATAATCGACTGTCATGCCATTCCCTGAAGATAGTGCTCTTGATACCCAAACCCTTACTTTTGAGAAAGGCATGCCAACGTCCGGAGAATGAATGGCCGTCGACATCGATGAGATATTTACTTTTGAATTGGTCGGTGAGTTCTACCGATGGCTTGTAGGTCCAGACATCATCGTAGAAGTCACAGTTTGGTACGCAGGAAGCAGCTTCGGTGAATCCAGCATCTGTATGTTTAGTGGCGAATTCGCTAGGTTGGAAGTGATCATAAGGTTTATATGTACCTGGGGTGGTGGGATCCATGGCCATGATGTTCACATTGGTATCTTTCATAACGGTGCCATTGGTAAGTAGAACTAATCTTTGACGATGCATCCTCTTCCAAGTCTCTGCAGTGTTAGTTCCCCCAGAAGTGACACCTCTCCAAATCATATTGTCCGCCTTGTCATCCCATCCAACGTCACCTGCTGGGTTGTAGGCGTATCGAGCATCATCATACTCGTAGTATTTATTTGCAGGGAATAGAATATCATTGTTGATATTAACTTTACATTCTCCGAATACAGGCAATGGCAATTTGCTGGCCGTTACTGTACTGCTTGCATATAGAAATCCATGTAAATCTTGAATTTCAGGACCGACTGTACAAAGATCCGAAGAAAGGTTAAAATTTGTAATAAATCCTCCGTCTGGACTTTTATAGGTGGCTTCTGCATCAGATTTAGACATTGAGTCTCTGGCATGAGATTCCGGAGGGCAGGCTTCTTTTGCAATCAACATATATTGTCGACCAGGTGCTCTAAACCACTCTGGGTCCTTCAATAAAGGCTCAGTCTTCCCATCTTGAAGAAGACTTGCCCCCTTTTGCCACAACCCAGACATATTTGTAGTGAATTCGGCGACAGCTTCTGGTAACATAATTCTGCTAGCCGTTTCGTTAGCAAGGAGAGCTTGAAGATCATCCCATGGTATGGCTAGACGTGGCTGATCTAGCCTGTTCATAGCAATATCCATGTCCGGTAAAAACTTAACGAAGGGTTCAATCATTTCTTTCATAGTTTCTGCTCTCCAGTTTTCATTGCTCAACTTCCAAACTTTCCCAGATCGTATGTGAATCCCAGAAATACCATCATCGTGATTGGCATGAAGATGCGCCGCTTGGGATCGAATGATAGCGGGATCGACTCCCCAGAATGGCCGTAGATCATCCATAATTTGCTCAAAGTCGTCGATATTGTAAACGTTCTTGTCTCGAGCATATTTATACCAATCCCTGAACTTTGGCGGCGGGTGCCTTCCATATTTCTTTCTATACTTTGACACAGTTTCCTTGAAAGTTTTTGATCTGCTTTCATCGTATATTCGAAATGCTTCATCCGCTTCTTTCATGAGCGCAGCTATAGGATGTTGGTCTGCAATATCACCCACCACTTCTTGGTCTTGATGCGACGTCGGCGATTTTGAGGACTATGTAAAATCCAAGATTAATAGGCAAACCCAGGTCAAGAGGCGAAGACAGTACTAACATCTGAATCGGGCTTATTTTTCAACTTTGGTAAAGGGATCTTCTTCACTTTTGATCGCACATCCGCACCAGAGAGCATTGACAGATTGAAAAGAAGTATTACAAGACCAGTAATGGCTAGAAAGAGAAAAAACCGACGCTGACCGCGATCAAGCCCCATGATGCCGGCTTGACGTATTCACTCCCTCGAGTATATCGTCTCTTGATACAATTGTGCGCGCATGCGAGTGAGTCTTGGAAAGGAAGATTCTTTGGTGTCATAAAAGAGTTCGAGATGATAGTAGCATTGAACAGTCCATCAGGAGGAGATCTTGTCTACTGTATACTGTAGTTTTGTAACTTGTAGATGGTATTGGTATTGGGTTACAGGATAAAGAAGAAAATTTGACGAATACTTTTTTTTGGTCGAATTACTTTCATGTAGGTACTCGATTGGATTGATGATGGATTGGGTTGGTTGGCCTGTTGGTTATATATTAGTCTATTCTGTGTTCTGTCTGCAGCTACCTACTCGAGCTACTCCGGTCCCTGGGAATTGTCTGATAAGGTTCTCTTCTGCCCTTGATCTGCCAGGGAAAACCAAAACCCCCGAGAAGATAATCGAATATTGAAATTTCTTAAAGCGGCAGCAGTTTTTAGATAACCAAATGAACCAATCAGCAACCAGATCAATAATTTTAATTCAGAACCTCTTGGTAAGGCTCGATATTGACAAAGACCTCTTAATCCACCCTCTCTCCTCCCCCTCCCTCAACACAATATGCCTCCGCGATTACCAGCGCTCACTTCTTATTGTCGCTCGGCGCCAACTCTGGCCACACCTTTGGCTGCATTCCTTGCACCCTTGATGCAAACCCGGAACGCTTCGATTCTTTCATCTTTGTCGGACAACTCTGGAGCATATAATAAACGTATACGAAGAGGTCGAGGTCCATCTTCGGGAAAGGGAAAGACATCAGGACGTGGTCATAAGGGTCAGAAGCAGCATGGAAAAGTGCCAGCACGATTCCAAGGTGGTCAAACACCACAAGATGTTGTTCACGGCGTGAGAGGATTTGAAAATCAGTATGAATTCCAAAGTTTTTCTACACTCAATTGAGATCCAAAATTCTCTCTGAAAGGTCTTCCTGTCGAACTATAGCTAATGAACTTATCAGTTTCTCCGTTGATATGTCCCCAATAAATCTTAATCGCATACAAGAATGGATTGACCAAGGTCGGCTCGATCCCACACGGCCCATCACTTTGAAGGAATTGGCCGATTCTCGATGTTTACACGGAGTAAAGGATGGAGTAAAGCTATTAGCGAGAGGAAAAGAGGAGTTGAAGACGCCAATTAATATTCTGGTCTCTCGCGCTTCGGCGACGGCAATCGAGGCAGTGGAGGCGCTCGGAGGAACAGTCACAACTAGATTCTATACAAAACCAGCGATCAAGAGACTCTTAGCGGGTGAATCTGTCTCCAGTTCCGTTCCACTCTCAGCAATCGACGCCCAGTTAGTTAGCGACTCTCCAATCCTCACAGCCGCTGCTGCTGCTTCACCATTCTCGTACCGCCTGCCAGATCCCACAAGTCGTAAAGACATCGAATACTATAGAGATCCGGCGCACAGGGGCTACCTAAGTCATACCGTGGAGGAGGGTCAAGGACCAAGTTTGTTCTTTAGGGCTCCACGAACAGGAAATTTCCAAAAGAAATCGAAGAAGACAGGTACAGGTGCTGCAGCGAGTGCCAACAGGATATGGTAAATGTTGCCATTGTATATCAAATATGAGGAGTGGCTATGACGTATTCCGATATGGATCGAGCAAGAGTTTTGCAATTTTTGGGTGATTGAACGCCATTCTCTGAATTATCAACCCACAGAACTGAAGGCAACAGATGGTGTGGATTCATTCCGACTATTGTGAAATGTTTTTATCTCTCCATGAGCATGTTGTACTCTGATTCAGCGAGGACGAAATATAGGGCCTGGTGCTCGAGTCTCATCTTGCTCTGGTGTGGTTTAAAGCTTTGCAGCTAGGTCACACTTGACCAAGAAATGAATGTTTACATGTGTAATGAACCCTCAAATACTACCCCGCAGACCGAATACATCAGTGATCGAGCATCAAAAGTTTTGTGTAAAGAGTTGTAGTCTTATATTTGCTCATCCTGCAGCCTCCTCTTGGATCTAAAATGCCCGATGTTTAATCTCACAATGATCAGCTGTGATATTTCCATGCACCAAGGCTTTTTAAAGACGAGAAATTTAATTATCGAGGAAACTAACACCTGCATCTTGTACATAAATTAAAGGGGCATATATGTTTAGACGACATCATTCTTGTGACTACGAAAACGTGACTTATCTCATACATAGATGACGATATGAATAATTATTGAGTATTTCATAACACATCGTAGACCATATCAAGATAATTCTAAATATCACCAAAATTACAAATCGACCTCTCAATTTGAGTTTCCTGTCACTTGGATCCATACCTCCTCCACAGTCCCACCTTGGTAGTGTACTAAAATATGCGCGGTTACATGGTGAGAAAGCATGTCCAAGCTTTCCCGCGTCTAGAGCTTCCAAGCTTCCAAAATACTCAAAACAATTATCGATGATAACGACGTTACGATACGAAATTACCCAATTCTGTCTTACTGTACATAATTATACATCCTAGAGGATATTAGCAATATAATGTCTCTATTCGGAGATGACGACGAGCCTGTTGGCGCAACAATCCCGTCAAAGTCGCGATTATCCCTCTTCGACGACGAGCCAAGTTCAACCCCAGGATCCAAATCTTCATTATTCGCAGATGACGACGATGTCTCGGGAGGCTCGCCATGGGGTACATCATTGCCAAAGAAACTAGACCGGGGAGCTTTACTAAAAACTCTTCTTCCCACATCCGACGTGCCCGAGAGTTATATTGACATCTTTGATGATATACTCAAGGATGGCAATGAATCCAATGGAAAACTTAGTAGGACCGGTGTGACAAAACTTCTAGATGCTGCAGACTTGGGCCCTGAGAAGTCGAGCTGGATCATGAAAATTATTGCCCCTACTTCACAACCACAGGATCTAGAACGGAACGAGGTCAATGTACTATTGGCTTTGATCGGGTTGGCCCAGGAAGAAGAGGATGTCCATGACGTTACACTTGATGGTGTAGATGAGCGACGAAGGAGTCAGTGTCTTTTAATATTCACTTTCGCTTGTTTTAATCTGATAAATGCGTAGATCTCCCAGTGCCCAAGCTTGCAAGCTTGACAAACTTAGCAATCGCAAACTTAGAATCCTCTGCGACCGATGAATCAACTGCGAAGCCTGCTCAGCGACCTGCAACCCCACCATCTGTACCATCCATACATAACTCATTGTCCCCCCCACAATCTAGAATGTTACGAAAAGATTCCCTGGAATTTCCCGAGGCTGATCCATGGGGAAGCCCGGCTCTTCACAAAGGCCATAATCATGCTAGTCCCAGATCGAATGGAGCCCCGACAAATGGAGCACGCGAACCCGTGAGAACTGTAAGTGGCTTCACAAATACTTCTACAGGACCATCAAATGAAGATCGATGTCAGCAGTCTAGAAGCGCTCCCATAGAGCCTGCGAGTGGAGGATGGGGCTCCTATGATGCGAATCCAAATTTTAACAACTCAGCAACACCACCAGTTGGCGGTAGTGGTGGATTCGGTGGCGATGGTGGGGAAGGGGAACGGCCAGAGGAAGCTGCTCCGCCAGCCCGCACATTTGGCGGTGGCCGTGTGACTAGCAATGGAGCAGAAGAGAATATAGTCGTCACTCTGTTAGCTGAGAAAGAGGGCATGTTCTTATTCCAACATCATAACTATCAAGTTTCTTCTGTTCGCAGAGGAAGTAAGGTTGTGAGAAGATATAGTGATTTCGTCTGGTTGCTAGATTGCTTACAAAAGCGATTCCCTTTCAGACAATTGCCACTTTTGCCCCCAAAGAGAGTCGCAGGTATGTTTGACTTGCCCACCAAATTTTCATTGCTGACCTGAGGGTTTCATAGTGAATGGAAATCATCTAGCTGCAGAGAGCTCATTTATGGAGAAACGCAGAAGAGGATTAGCACGGTTTTCCAATGCACTTGTCCGACACCCTGTTCTTAGTCAAGAGCAATTGGTCATAATGTTTCTGACTGTTCCAACAGTAAGTCCTCACTTCTCTTACATCTTACATATTGTTACTAAGTATAGGCTAATTAGCATCAGGAGCTTGCTGTTTGGCGAAAGCAGGCTACTATATCTGTTCAGGAGGAATTTGTTGGACGGCCACTACCCCCGGGACTAGAAGACTCTCTTCCCCCTACTCTGAATGATCTCTTCGCCCAGACTCGAACCGGTATCCGACGATCTGCAGAAGCCTATGTTAACATGTGCAATCTTATGGACCGCCTAGCAAAACGCAATGAAGGACTTGCTGCAGATCATTTACGTATGGCGCTCTGCTTACAGTCGCTCACTGATGTCTCCCAAGACACCTATGCTATCGATACCAATGATGTGCCACTGTTGAACGAGGGTCTTCATTCTACTGCCAAGCACCTTTCCAACAGTCAAAACATTCTCGAAGATGAGGCTAAGGCCTGGGATCAAGGCGTTCTAGAAGACTTAAAGAAGCAACGAGACTCTCTTGTCAGCATGAGAGATATGTTCGAGCGTCGGGATCGTTATGACAAAGACAATATTCCATATTTAGAACGCAGGATTGAAAACAACGAGAATAAATTAGTGACAATACGATCAAAGCCTGAAAACATGGTTAAGCCAGGAGAAATTGAAAAGGTCACAGAAGCAATTATCAAAGTAAGCTCCACAAAGCAGAAATTGAAGCTTACGAGAACTAACGTTTCATAGGATAAGGAGTCTATTGTAGCTCAGCATGCGCGAGGGATATTTATCAAAGAGTGCATAAGAGATGAGCTCACCTACTTCCAATCAACACAATATAACATCAGTCGACTAAGTCAAGACTGGGCACAAGAACGTGTGAAGTACTCGGAGCTTCAAGCCCATAACTGGAGACAACTGGAAGAGGAGCTCGAGAGTATGCCACTTGGGGATTAGGAACTATATGGCTGCTGCTTTTCATTGCGTTCTTTTCAAAACTCAAATTAGATACCATTAGCGGCATTCAATTTCGGGGGGTTCATTTATTCGAGCGTCTGTCATACTTGTATACATAAATATTGTTTGGGATGGACAGCGATTTGGTGTGTGGGTGAGACCCATGACGGTGATTAGGGCCAGTAATAATGATACAAATCAATCATACTAATTTTTGTTTAATTTGAATTGTCTCCTGAAGTTTTTCAATACGTGGTTTTAGCGCATTTTAAGAAGAAAGCAGCATCAAAATTGCATCCTTCTGGTCGTTCCATACATAATACAATATTAATCAAATACCACTCCAAACTTTCGAGTAGACATCTCTCCTTTTTGTTGAAAGCTATCATTCTCGTCTAAGACTCAACCTGAAACAAATATCGCTTATGATAAACTATCTTTCGTGCTTTCTTATCTTAATACAACACCCATAACTTTATTTTTGCGCTAGGCTGCGGGACTAAGGCCGGACCAGAAGCCCATGTTCTTAAATTCACAACCCCGCCATCTCCTCCTCCAGACTTCCAATAAACACCAAACACAGAGGAAATTTTTTTCAAGATGCCTCTAAATGGGCCACAACGTGCTATGCTCAATGAGTTCATGCAAATTACTGGGGTTTCAGAAAGAAATGCTATTAAAGTGAGTAAACTGAGATCAGCCTGTTGCCTTGAGCTCTTCCACCTCAGATGTCAAAACATAAACCATTTACTAATAGATCTTGTTTCGCAGATTCTTAAATCGACGGGATGGAAACTGGAATCGGCATGTGATAGGTGAGCGAATATTTTACTTCCCAGAACTCGAGCTGCGCGAACGAATATCGATAAATGTGGACTACGATTCGACACACGACACACTATCCCCTCGATATTTGATATGACTTCGAAATATGATGGCATTCTTAAGAGATGATCGGGATACGCGGCGCAAGTCAAAAGTGTTCTCGTGCATGAAGTTTGATGGGTCAACATATATGAGATGTTAGAAAACACTCAAATACTCTTGTTTACACTCGCTGTCGGTGGACCCCAAAATCGTTGTTTTAATTGGAGGATTGCCGATTTAGTCGACTATGCTCAGCTCGAAACCCATCACTATTTTACCTTGCCATCTCTGGCTTGGTCCAGATATATGCTGTTCAGTTTCATCCACCGCAGTGAGATGTTGTAGGGTTTATTCGAAGTCCATATTTAAGGCAGCAGACGTCTAGTATGGCTCCGGTTACCGATCATGAGTACGGATACTATGAGTTATCAGTCAACACTTACCAGCTCATGCACTCATTTGAGTTCTCACAATATATACTAATAATCTAATTGTAACAGCTTCTTTCAAGGAAATGGTGCCCCTCCCGAAGCGAAAGAAAAGGAGTCTTTGACGAAGCTTTTCGAGAGCTACCGCAGTATGTATCTCGAATAATATCTCTTCAAGGCAGTTGAACACAGAAGAAGCTGAACATTGGTGATCTAGCCTCCAATGATGATGTCGACATGGTTGGTGTTGACGGCACTATGAAGTATTTTGGGGAAGATTTGGGCATCAATCTGGAAGGTGTTGAGTTTCTGATCCCCTGCGAAATCATTCAAGTACCATCTATAGGAGAGATGACCAAAGACGACTTTGTCAAGGGATGGAAAAAGTTGGGGTAATACTGTCCCCACAATGTTACCTTCAGTTACTAACACTTTTGAACAGCCTTGATACATTGCCCAAGCAAAAGTCATACATTTTAGAGGTCAAGGATTCATTGTCGACCGACGTGGAATTGTTCAAGAGAGTATATAAACACACCTTCATCTGTGCTCGTGAGAAGGGACAGAAAGCTCTTTCGTTAGAACTTGCCAGTGTATACTGGGAGCTCTTGTTCAACTCTCCAGGAAAGGAATGGAAGACCGCCTCAACCAATTGGATCAAACTCTGGTTGGATTTCCTCGGACAGAATTGGAAGAAGAGTGTCAACAAGGATTTATGGAACCAGACATATCAGTTTCATGCAAAGACAATGGAGGATGAGAGTTTGAGCTTCTGGACTGAAGATTCAGCATGGCCAAGTGTCATTGATGAATTTGTTGCATGGGTAAAGAAGAATAGGGGAGATTCGGAGGAAGTTGGAGAGACAATGGAGACTGATTGAGAAGGAATGATAAAGATCTAGAAGGGATGCATTTTGATTTCTTTTTACTTGCAGCGAAGCATATTCCTGGTAGCGCAATGGCGTTCTAGGTAGCAGACTGGCGTTTGAAACACCATACAAGAATGTGAGGTGGAAATACCAATCCCTCAATTCCATAATGTAAAACCAACCTCCATACCCTGGCATGGAAATGTTGATCGCATTTTCCTTCTGACGGCTACTAATACAACATACAAATGACACCATGCTACTACTCATTTCTCCTTTGTATGTTCCTCCATTGTCCAAGGAATAGTCGAACCAATCTTACTCAAACTCTCCAATGTACCATCTCCCAACTTCACCGAACTGAACTTGATCATCCGTGGATCTAATCCGAGAGTTGTCCGTACGTTATCTTGCGTCTTGCTCGAGGCGTCGTATCTCATGACAAAGTAATGTCCTTCATGGTATTGTGCTTGATGTTTGCGTGTTCGTTTTGGTAGACTAGATACTCCCCAGTTGCGTATGCCGCGAATGGTACCGCCGGATCTGAGTATGAGGGAACCAGCTGTGCGGGCAATTCTGTAGGTGAGGAATGAGTCGTTAGTCTCAATTATTGAGTTGGGTAGGAGGGGAAATTGAAAGGCGATTTACTCTTTGACCTCAACGAGGTTGCCGGGTCGAACCTAGAGATTTGTTAGATTGTATGTTCTCTTTTACATACTCCATTTGGGAAAGACTTACAATTGCGACGAGCTCATACAACATCTTGGTGGCTACATTCAAATTCTGATACTATTGGCATCGACTCAAGATTGTTCAGGAATCCATCGGAGTTTAACCTTAGATTACCCGACGCTAAAAAATAATTTTGAATTGCGATTGTGACGATAAGAAAACCCCCACAATCTATCAATTATTTTTTCTGAGGGGTCGCAAACTGTCTACCAAATTATCTACAACACGCATATACAAAATGTCGAAACGTCCAGCCGAAGATGAGAACATGGATCTGTCCTTGAAGGCAGGAGAGAGGCCGGAAAAGCCAGAATTGGATGATGGGGTGGGAGAGTTCGAAGACGAATTCGAAGATGAATATGAGAGCGAAGATGAGATTTTGGAGGCGGGTGTTGACGGTAGACCTGATGCTGAGAGAGAGGCTGAAGAAGCGGGTTAGTAGAATCAGTTATGAAGCTGTTGTGAGTGCGCATTTAGGGGAGTTTACTAATGCGCTTACAGAAGCCATGGAAGTCGATCAACAAACTTTCATAGTTGGTAGGAACAAACTAGAACCAGGACAGACATTATCCCCCGATCTTACTACATACGAAATGCTTCATGCTCTCAGTACCCCCTGGCCTTGTCTTTCTTTCGATATACTTAAAGATGGTTTGGGCGATAATCGAAAAACATATCCCGCTACTATGTATGCAGTTGCAGGAACACAAGCTGAACATAAACGGGAAAAGGAAAATCAATTGATGGTTATGAAGTTTAGTGGATTGAGTAGAATGGAGAGAGAACAGGGCGAAGACGAATCGGATGAAGATGAAGATGAAGACTCGGATCCTATCCTTGAATCGGCTTCGATACCTCTCACTGCTACTACAAACAGAATACGTTCGCATCAGACACCCGCTTCGGACTCTTCGCGGCCTCCTACTACCCTTACTGCTTCAATGAGCGAATCCGGTCAGGTTCTTATTCACGATATTACTCCTCATCTATCCTCTTTTGATACCCCAGGCACTGTTATCACTCCACAACAAAACAAAGCTTTAGTTACTCTTAAAATGCACAAATCGGAAGGCTATGCCGTTGATTGGTCACCTTTGATATCTACTGGGAAGTTGGTAACAGGAGATAACGATGGCAAAATTTACGTCTCTACAAGAACTGCTGGAGAGAGTTGGTCAGCCGATGCACGCCCATTCACAGGCCATACTGGAAGTATCGAGGAATTGCAATGGAGTCCTTCGGAAAAGAACGTTTTCGCATCCGCGTCCAGCGATGGAACAATCAAAGTCTGGGACATTCGAAGTAAATCCCGAACCGCAGCACTTACAGTCCAGGTTTCCGAAACAGATGTAAACGTCATGTCCTGGTCACACCAAACTTCTCATCTTCTTGCCTCCGGCGCCGACGACGGAGTCTGGGCAGTTTGGGATCTACGAAATTGGAAACCTTCAAAGACTTCTGAACCGTCTAAACCTTCTCCAGTCGCTTCTTTCAATTTCCACAAAGAGCAAATTACAAGTGTAGAATGGCATCCTACTGATGATAGTATTGTTGCGGTTGCAGCTGGTGATGACACACTAACGCTGTGGGATTTGGCAGTCGAGTTGGATGATGAGGAAAGTAAGGATACTGGTGGAGTTAATGATGTTCCTCCACAATTGCTATTTGTGCATTATATGGCGAAGGTCAAGGAGTGCCATTGGCATCCACAGATTCCAGGAGCACTTGTTGGAACTGGAGAGAACTTCAACGTTTTTAAGACGATCAGTGTTTAAAATGTTGAGGCTCATGGCTCTTGAAAGTAAAGAAACGAAAAACAAAACGGTCTAAAAGTACAATGAGAAAAAAAGTTTAACATCTACTATCTGTGGTTCGAACTTGGAGTTGTGATGATGAACCATATGTGCAAATTGTAGGCAACAGTTATTCCTCTGAATCGTCGTGAGGAAGTATCGGCTAGCCCCGGGAATATCCCAGATTACCTACCTAGAGATACTCCCCTGGTGAAAATATTCTTCACTCTTGGAATTCTCTTGGGTTACATCGGTTCGCGAGAAAATCTGGAGTTGCCTATTCTATTCTAGCGGATTCCCGCCACTTTCTACGTACAGGGAATAATGGCTGTCTATCTCCAAGCAAGGCTTGGATCGACAGGCGTGGTACTCTTTTCGTATGCATGGAGCCCCCGCATTCTGGCGCGAGGAGCGGTTTCTGGTTAATGGTGGGTGGGAGATGGGTTTGAGATGACGGTGGTCTAGGAATGGGTCTAGGTTCAGGGTCAGGAGAGTTCTGGAAAGGTGATGGAGGCTCGGAGGGTAAAAAATTAATTAGGTAGAAGCGAGAAGTTGGAAGCTAGAGGTTCGATGTAGGAGTAGACTACCAGTAGTATGACGAACTATTGAAGCTTGGAATGGATGGTTGGATGGATAGATGGGTTTGTATAAGGAGGCTAGAGAATGAGATCCGGAGGGAAGGGTGGAATGTGTTACTTGTTTAGCTGAAGAAGTTGGAGATGAGTAAGTAGAGTAGTGTGAGGGTTAGGAAAGTAAAGTAAAGTTAGACATGAAGACTTTTGCAGCTCGCTTGCTCTGGAACAGATGATTCGACATTCGGGATTTCGAGATGGGACTTTTTGTGCTCTCATCTGTCTAGGTATCTTACTCTGTCATATTCTGTTTTCGATCTATCGATCCTATATCTTTTCTTTCCTTTATTTTGTTCCGCTACGCTTTACTTTCCTTCCTTTTCTTGCGTTCGTGTTTCTTGGTATTGTAATATCGTGCATGGTATGATTTCTCTCTCGCGTCGACGATGTCAGCATGCAAGCTTCCTCGTGATCCAGTCAGCAACAGGGTTTCTTGCAACTCCGTCAGCCTCTCGAGGAGCTAGAAGATGTATTGGTGGCTAGGCGTAAGGATGACCTTTCCCCGCAAATTCCGCAAAGGTGGTGGAACGCACGCATGTGTACAGACTACTGGTGGGCTGTGGAAAAGTGTTGTGAGAATGATATGGGGTGATGGCGGCTCTTTTTCTTGTATTTATTTTTTGCTTTGTTTGTGCGAAGAAGCTTTTTTGTCTTTTGTTTTTGGGAATTTAAAATCAATTGCTCGCTTGACCGATCTGGATTCGGTATTAATGATACAGCCTCGAGATGTAAAGTTGATCATCATTACCGGAAGAGTGTTCCAAATCCCATCTATTACTTTCCTTCATTATTGAGGAAATGAGATGAAGATACTTCTATAACCACCTCTTTCGATCCACTTCATTGCCCAAATTGGCAAGCACAAACTAAACAGAATCGAATGTGGACATGATACCATTGCACCATACTACTTCCACTACACTCGGCGTTCAAACCCAAATCCAAACTCAAGTCTCACAGGTCCTATCTTCTTCCTTCCAATTCGGCCCCCTCAACCCCAACAAATCCAATGGCACTTTCAAATTCACCTTCTCCTCTACCTCTCCCTCACCATGTCTTCCCTATCGCTCGAAGCGTACACGCCCCCTCTCAGACGTCGATGGAAACTTGAACGCAAACACCGTGAATGAAGGACCAGGACGAAAAAAAAGAAGATTGCGTCTTCATCTTATTACCTCGCGATTGAGTAGACCATTCTCGGTGCCTGCAAGTTATAAACATGCTAGAATATTTGGCATCAAAGGAGTGTGTGTGAAGGGTGTTGGGGGGGCGAAAAGGCTTGGTGTATTTGGAGGAGATGGGAAAGTTGGAGGGAAGAAAGAAATTGGAATTGGAAGGGATGTGCTTCGGAAGGTGGCAATTTTCAATCGGATCAGGTTGCAGATGCGGATGCATGGGGCAAGGGAGTCAACGATTCGTGAGCGAAAGCAACAGACATTGTTAGATGTGGATATGCACCTGAGGGAGATTCTCGAAGAAAAACAGAACAGAAGGTGGAATGAATTTGTGTTGCCTCCGAGTCCACTTGGAAGGTCGAACTATGATGTTTTAGATTCAGAAGATGAAATGCTGATGGATGAAATGGATGATGGGTGTGAGAGGACGATCTATAGTGACTTCAATGTCATGTGTTCTTCGGAAGAGGGAGAAGATGAGTATGAGTACCTTGATACGCTTGATGGACTTTCTCCCGAGGACATGCAGGAGCAGCCACTGAGTCCACCCGAAGATGAGAAAATTGTGGAGATGCTGAGGGAGGAGGAGAGATTGCATGATAGCTATTTTGTATGTGTTGGAGGTGCGGGGATGGGGTTTCGGTGGGGTAACTGGCTGTGAGATGAAGAAACTCGATAATCGACTGGAATTGACAATGGAGGCAATCTCAGAGGAAGATTTGGGGACTATCTACTATGATAGATGAGATCATTTGTCGGGGGATCTGTAGAGGTCCTCAAATCTAACTTGAAAGCTATACAGAACAATTTGGAAGGGGGGCTGATCGACGTCATGGCATTTGCATGGGTATGTGTTCACAAGTATCCAAAAACGTATCAACGCATAAATAGTTGGATTTATTGGAGTTTAAGTGTTTTCAAAATGCTTTTTGTAGCTTGGTGGCGCGGTCTACTGCAATATCACACATAGCCTGCATTGGAGTTAGCTATAAAAAATCATGATTAAATCTCGAATACAGCGTACCTGAATAGCCTCTTTCCTCTCGAGTCCAATATCTCCTCTTGATATTCTTCTTCTCATATCTTCAAAAATTATAGGTCTTGATCTTCCATTTACGAAAACACTAACATTGTAGTTAGCACTTGCTTGTCCACTATAGGAGATAGGCATGTTCATACACATATCTTAAGCCCGGGAAAGTCTTCTCATATTCTTCATTGAGAGCTTTTAACTTTTCAGCTTCTTCTGTAGGTCCAGTATTCAATTGAGCTTGTTCGGCTTTAGATTGTACACTTTCTACTTTCTTCTCGCCTAATCTAGGATGGGAACCAAGAATCTTGTCTAGCCACTCTCTATCACTTGGTAATGTACTTTCTGACAGATCAACAAGTTGGGTACCGACACTTGCGATAAGATCATTGTACGACTCGAAAGTTGTGGTATGAAGTAAATCCATAGAGAGTGTATGGAGAGCAGTACATGGCTCGAATAGGGCGTCGAGGACACTGGATCTCTCAACAGTGGATAGGGAGGGAATTCCAGCGATTGGAGGTATGGAAGTCATCGTTTTTGATATCGATAGAAAAGCTCTCGGGGAGAATGATAAGATGTGATGGACAAATGTTTATGTACTTCGAAAAACATATAACCTACCTAAGCATTTAATAATAAGTATTTCTCCATATATGTCCCAAAGTGTGATTGATGAAGTCACTTAAAGGACATGAAATTCCCCACACAAGGCCGGCGCCGGGAGCTTCAAATCCAGGAACTAAGCCGTAGACAGATTAGCGTCATTATGGATTGATCGCGACCTCAAAATATCTTTTTATTTGTCGGATCACGGCGCGAGTTTAGAGCTTCAAATCTCATATCAACGCGAATCAATATGTTGTGCTCAAGTAAGTTTTGAAAGCTCCTAGAATTTATTTGGTACTTGCCATTGACTTTTTATAGTATCTGGAGAAGCCCCACAGCATCCAGTTGCTTCATCGAAATCAGGTAAGTTGTGTAAACAAGGTATCTATCCAGTGAGCTTAAGAATAACAGATTGCAGGCAACGTTTTCGAAAAACGACTTATCGAATCATACATTTCAGAAAATCATAAGGATCCAGTTACGGGAGAAGACCTCGAAATCGCAGATCTCATCGACCTCAAATCCGCCAAAATTGTTACTCCCAGACCTCCAACTCTCACATCGATTCCTTCTCTCCTTTCCACTTTCCAAAATGAATGGGATGCATTGGCATTGGAAAGTTTCACAATAAGACAACAATTACATCAGACGCGACAAGAGCTGTCGACAGCATTGTATCAACACGATGCAGCTGTAAGAGTTATTGCGCGGTTGACAAAGGAGAGAGACGAGGCTAGAGATGCGTTGAGCAAGGTTTCAATTGGTGCAGGAAGTGCAGGAAATGGCGACGCTATGCAGGTTGATACTCAAGGTCTTCCAGAAAATTTGGCGACTCTGGTTGATACTACACAAGCCGAGTACGAGACTTGACGAGACCCGAGTTATAAATTCGACTGCTAACGAATATACAGACTTTCCAAAAGCCGCCGAAAGCGACCCGTTCCAAAAGGATGGGCTACCACTGAAGATATTGGCCAATTTACGATCAATTCTACTTCAGAACCTTTATACCCTGGGTGTGTTTCACTCGCCCAGAGCGAAGATCAGTTAATTGTCGGTGGATCGAAAGGAGAGACAGGTATCTATTCTTTAGCTGAACAAAAGATCATAAAGTCATTTGAAGCCGGAGGACCAGTCACGGGAGCTGCTTTCTATAAAAGTACACCTATTGTGTCTACTGCGAAGGGAGAGGTGAAGGTGTTTGGAGATGAAGAGCATACATTTACATCGCATGCTGGAGCGGTGAATGCTCTTGCATTACATCCAAGTGGTGAAATTTTAGCCTCTGTTGGTATCGACAAGAGCTTTGTTTTCTATGATTTGGCTGAGAAAGCAGCAATCACACAGATTTTTTGCAGATTCAGGTATGTCAATTTTGTAAATGGGAACCTGTCTGGCGCAAGCCTCGTTAACATCTTCTAGAACTTAAAACGGCAGCTTTCCATCCAGATGGTCATCTCTTTGCAGCTGGCGGCGCTGATGGACAGATTAAGTTATTCCATGTCAAGACAGGAGAAAGCGCTGGTGTAAATTTCGAGATTGATGGACCAGTCCAGGACGTTGCCTTTTCTGAGAACGGTATATGGTTTGCGGCAGTTGCCAAAGGATCTACCAGTGTTGTAATTTTCGATATCCGAAAAGAAGGAAAGGCCGCAGAGGCGAAGATTTTAGAAATCGGCGGACCAGTTGATGCTATCCAATGGGATTACACTGGTCAATTTTTGGCAGCTTCTGGACCAAGAGGGCTTACTATTTCCCAATACACCAAAGCTACGAAATCCTGGTCGGATGCTTTGAGCGTAGCTGTTCCAGCAACTGCAGTACAATGGGGTGAGGAAGCAAAGAGTTTGATCACTGTTGATAGTGAAGGGGTTGTGAATGTCCTTGGTGTAGCACCTGCATAATGGAATATGCATGATAGGGGGTCAAAGGAAACCGAGATGGGACGTGAATATCATGGAGTTTGGTGATTCGAAGATGTGAAATGGAATAAAAATTAGGGATAGGGCCCCTTTTCACATGTTACTATAATGTTAGGGGAGCAGCATCTTTGGGATGCCCAAAATGAACAATAGTGGCGGCACAGACCAGCCAGCACTGAAACAAGAACACAAGAGTCTGAGGTTGATAAAGTGGTGAAATAGAGAAATGATGGTAATGCGTCGTCAAAGTAGGCATCTTCAAATATTATGGGAATAGAGATTGAATAGTGAATACAATTCGAATTTGTATTTATTGTTGTATTGTATTGCACTGAATGCTTACAATAGCCGCACATTGCTGAAGGGTCTTCCGAGGTTGGACATTGTAAATACCTACATATCTACCTAGTACATCATCACGGAGGTACTCGAGTAGATGCAGTATCTTCAATTCTACTTTAAGTGGCAACTAGGTAAAGAACCTCACTTCGGAACAAAGATGATAAATCACCTGAGTGTAAATTCTTTCACAAATTCTACTGCACTCCATATACGACTCTGGTTCAATTATGAAATCTAATAAAATGCACCCAGTAGCACGGTAGATTGTGTTCGCTTACTCATATCAATTTCTCATAATCGTCACTAGTTCTATATCAAATTGGGTCCGACTGGAACAACTTCGACTTGTTATTACAACAACACACAACACCCCCACCACAAAAGAGACACATTTGATCACATACATACCATCGACTTATTGAGCAAGAGGATCTCTGTTCACCTCCTGATTTTGGTCAAGAGTTGTTCCTTTCCTTTTCAATCCAGAAAAGTAATCAAAACTCCGAGCGCATATACTGGTGAGTTCTATCCACCATGGAGAATGAATGGTTAGGAAGCCGGGAAAGTCGTAAGGTAGGAAGCAAATGTTTACTTGTTTTCTTTGAGTAAAAGGTATATTTGGTTGGTTCTTTCTTTACTGACAAATTTTTTTTAAAGCGATCTCTTGCAGAAATGTCTCAATCACATCCAAGAATTTCGTTGTCGCCGGAATTTTTTCGAGAAAGTACCTCAAACTTGGGTAACTCCTCTTCAAGAATTGCACCACCTAACGTCGCCACATCTCCTCTCCGAGAACGACAAAGACGACGATCACCAAACCCCAATAATAATTCTGGACAATCTAGTCTGCGCAGTCGGCGTGCCGGTGGACATACTCAACCAGCAGGGGAAGTCGGAACAATGGAAGCATCATCTCGGCGCCACCGCCCGGTAGTGAACTCAGAAAATGTTATTGATTTAACATCCGATCAAGATGACGATCCTTCACCCCAAGTTCGAATTAATCCTGCAGCTGTTCGTAGGGCAGCCAACGGTCGAAGACACAACACACCTTCACCCTCACCCTCAGGTTCGCCTTTTCCTGCAGGCCGTATGCCAGCTCATAATCGGAATCCTACTGCATCGAGACTACCACCGAGATTAGGGAGAAGTGAAGCAAGATTAGAACAGTTTGTGGATCTCACAGGAGATGACGACGATGATGAGGATGACACTATTATCATAACTCATTCTCGAGAACGTTCCGTACCTCTACCTCCCCGTGCCCCGCCACTACCACCAATGCATGCTAGACTTGGAGTTTTTGAACGTTTGCAGAGACAGAGGAATGGGAGAGCTACCCCGCCTGGATTTGTAGCCGGTCATCTCGGTGGCAATCCAATGAGTCCACAAAGACCAACGCCGGCAGGCCCCAATGGTGAACTTGCGTTTGGTGGATTGAGAAATATGTACGACAACGGTGCGGGTATTATTATGGACGTCCATAATTTCTTGGGTTTTGGGGGTCGAGATGTTCATTTATTTGCAGATTTTCCAGCTATGCCAAACGGTATGGATTATGGAAGAGTGGCTTTACAAGAGAACAAACCCGAACATGTTGCGCCTCCAGCAGTTCCCGCAGGATTTACGAGATCGCCCATGGAGAGTGATACTGCGATTTGCCCGAGTTGCGAAGAAGAATTGATTCATAGAAAGGACGGTGAGGAGCCAGTAGCAAAGAAATCTCGTGGGGCACCGAGTAAAAAGGATAGAGAAGAACATCCTTTCTGGGTCGTTAAGGATTGTGGTCATGTAAGTTCAATTTATTCCACTTCTACCTACCATCATTAACATCGACTAGGTCTTCTGCAATAAGTGTTTTCAAAACCGCACAAACGACAAAATATCCTCCTTCCGCGGAGCCAAGACAGTCCTTTGCGCAGTGGATGAATGCGAATCGATTGTTAAAAACAAGGATAGATGGGTGGGCATTTTCTTGTAACTTCACGATTTCGGGCCTACAATTCTAGGACGCTGGGCAATCTCAACCTTTTTTTTCTGTGTCCACATCAATAGGATACTATTTCACGAATCATCACCATACGATTTCTCTAGTTTCAAGGAGTTTTAGCATCATTGGTATCATTTACAGGATGGAGTACAAGGGCACTGGGGTGAATCCTAGTTGATTCACATAGGGCGGGCTAGGACTTGGCTTATATTATTGTGTTCTCCACACCGGGGCGTTTTTGAGGGGAAGGGAAGGGTGGAATGGGAAAAGGAAGGGAGTAATTTCAAGTGCATAGACGGAGGAATTATGTCCTTAGACTCGGAAAATTAATGGAAAATAATGTCAGCGGGGGTTTGTGGAGTGGGTGGAGGAATTGAGCAAGTGAATAGGAAACATGCTCTGATATTCCAGCGACGAAATACTAATAGGTATCTCACATCTTCTTTTCTGATGATAGCGGGGGAAGCATGTATATTAGAGGGGCAGCATAGCGAATACACAGCAAATGCGTTAGCATATTTGAAATGGTTTATGTTTTGTGTGGTTATGCTTTTGTGGGCTGTGAGCCTGAATGATGTGGTGGTGAATGATTCTGGTGAAGAGAAAGGGGCTGGAAAGAAGCGGGAGAGTGGGGGGAGAATGGGGATGGTGGAAACGATGAAAGGGAAGGAGAGTGGGTTGAAAATGCGTGGTAGTAATCTGCTCTTCTGCATTATGTCTACTGGTGTGTCTATCCATCTGGTAATTCCTTTTTCTCCACTCCCTAAGAAATCTATTTTTCCACCCGGAAGGCCTTGCTTCTCACTCTTTTTCCTGAAAGGATTTTTTGACGGTCTACTTGGTACCTAGGTAGTCTCTGTCTTTCCTTCTTCCCCTCTTTCTTCAATGACCTCCATGATTCTTCATGATAATCTGTCTAAATAACCCAGGTATGTAATACATCCCGCAACGATTCAGTGTCACTCTTACCTTTCTTTCTTTTCTGCTATTACTATATTCTGTATTTGTTTGTATCGTCTACCTCTCGTGCTTGGACCCGAAATTCAGCTGCGCAGATGAAGGTCTTTGTGGTAAGTAGTGGTCCCAGTGGGGTATATATATATACAGGAGATTGGGAGGATCGCGAGGAGAGATAGTGGATAGCACGATGAAGTGGGGTTTTGCAATGGAGCGAGCATTTGACATTGGTTTGTAAGGGATTGTGGGTTTGTATCTTCTGGGGTTGGGGGAGAGCTTTGCGGGTGGTGGTTTTCAGGAGAAGGGGAACGGGGATGAGGGTGGAAATGGAAATGGAGATGGAGATGTATGTAATATAAGCGCGGTTTTAACAATGATATAAATCTTTTCCTTGAAACGTTAACAAGATCTTCAATTCAAAAGTCGAGTTTACGAGATCGAGACTTATGCATACCTAATCTCTCTAGGGTGAAAATCGGAAAGGGGAGTACTAGGTAGGTATGTCCCTTACAAGTATGAGTAGGTAGGTAGGTACCTATAGCATGGCTCCAACGATACATCATAATTTTGGATATCATACCTGGATACTCTTACCACTCCAGCTACCTAGGTAATCATTCACTACTCCTCGCTCCTCGCTCCTCCACAATCCCTCCCTCCCCCCCTTCAAACGCTAGCGTATAACATATCATTATCTCCCCCCCTCCATCTAGCAATTTCCTCCTCCCTAAAATATATATCCCAATATCCCAATTCAAATTCCAACCCAACCCCACCCAGCCTCTTCCATCGTCCATCTTTCCATCTTCCATCGTCCATCTTCCATCGTCCATCTTCCATCCTCCATCTTCCATCCTCCATCCCACCACAAAAACAAAACCAACCATTCCAAGGTCTCTTAGCCACATCTCCATATCCCAAGTATATCTACCTAGTATCCAAGTCACAAATCAACACCCCTCCCCCATCTCCCCCTCTTCTTTCTATTTCCTCTGGTCTCAGTAACTTGACACTTTTCAGAATTCCTTGCAATACTACCTAACACCCACCACCAGGTAATCTACTTCAGACCCTCCTCCACCACCAGCTCCCACTCTCCCACTCTCTTACTTCTCCACCCTCATCTGCTCTGGTTATCACTCCACAAACCTTCAAAATTATCACTCACAAACCTTCTTATTCTCAATCACCGAGCCCTTTCTCTCCTTCCATTCCTTCCTATGCAACTCAATCTGAGTCTCAACTCAACTCCTAAAAAAGCTATTGGTTGAGATTTCATCCTCACCGTATTCGCCATTTTTCAAAGTTTTTCGCAATCAATCAAATTTGTTCAATAATTTTTAATTGCATTATGCGTTTTATCTTACTCTGCCATCTACCTCTGCCTAGGTATTTTAGCAGGTACGCTTAGTATCCCGAAGCCGATCCTTTGTCCCAGTTCCATCCATCCATCCATCCCAATTCAATGCCCACCAATTTTCTTCCTTTCATTCAATAAGATACCGATTCAATGTGATTTCCATATCAACCGCCCATCTTTCATCCAAAAAGAAGCTTCGCCCGCCATGTTTTGCACTTTTAATCTCTGCATTTGCCTTTTGCTCCTGCCCCGACCTCTCTTCAAATATCCCCTCACCACTTCATGCACCCCCAGCCAGAACCACACCTATGCTCAACCTTCGCGAGCACTGCTCAAGAAAACGCCTCCACCCCACACTCAAAGCCATCCATTATGTGCATATCATAATGTATCAACTGTTGAACTCGAAAAAAAAACAAGATAATCATCCTCTCCATTCAAATCATCAACATCATCAAGCATTCCGTCATATCATTGAAGCAACCTTGACATTGCATTAAACGACCCCATATGCAACGCGAAACCCTTAATCCCACCTCAACCCATGAATGAACACCTATACCCATTTGAACCAGCCAAAGAAGCAAACTCCGAAGATATGAATCCAACCCAATGTGAAAATAAGCAAAAAATAACCAAAGCGTGGTATCGTCAAGCACGCGTTAGAGACACAATTAAATGCGAAGGGGAACTTTTGTTCCATAAATAGAGTATCGTACCTTCCCATGAAGCCCCCCTGGAAAGCTCTGAATGAATGTACCATAGCCATAATTTCGTGTGTATGTATGTGAAACAAGCAACCTTCCATCCCCATATGTACCGCAAGATTAAAGCAACAAGACATGCCCAAGTCTTGTCCTATTTTTTTTCTTGCTAAGAAATTAAAAAGGGTAATAATAGGAAATTACTTTTGTTGTATGTGCGCGATCAGGGGCGTTTCCTGACTTTTAAATCACAAGAGATTGTCTTTTAGTTTATTAGAGCGTTCTGCTCGTGTTTGCATATGAACAGCTTGCGTCTCTAAAGCACGTGCCATGAGACGTGTTACTGTGACTTGAGTTAGTGTCTTTGAAAGTCGGATCGGGGATGAGGAATACAAACCTTGCCAAACTGCAAGCTCTGTCGAGCTGATAAGCAGTCAATCTTAAGATCTTGCTTCCAAATCCACAATTATCTAGAGCGGGAGATTCTTGGCCAGTATTCATCTGAACGGCGTTTGTCTGACCGGCATTTATCTGATTATGACTATTGGTTGCCAGTTCATGTTGCATCTTCGCTTCAGTGATGTTGAAAACCTCTTTAACTCTCTCCAAAAGTCTGACATCCTCATCTTCAAGATATATGATAGCAGGCACGCTGCTGAAATCAACATCCGCATGACCCAGAATTCCGATATAGCGTCCTAGGCGTTCCTGCACCAAACTTATCCATTCGGCTACTACTTGTGCACAATCAAATGCGCACATGGCAGCCTGTAGTGGGAGCTCCCGGGAGGTAAAGTCTGCAAAAGTAATGCCGAATTTATTTGACATTACCAGGAAATCTGTTGCATAATAAGCTGCCTTTCTAAGTAAGCGTTCGCGATCGGTGGGGCCCTCTGGTTGGTTGGATGGAGAGGTTTGGAAAGCACTAGAAGATTGAACGTCAGGAGGAGAGTTTGATGTTGTAGGAGAATCGACGAACACAGAGCTTGCAGCTGAACCGCTTGAAAATTCCGTAGAATCTGTATTGGAGTTAGGGGAGTGTCCCGCATGCTGCATGGTGTCTTTTCCTCCGGCAAGTTCGGTTGCCATGTCATCGAAGTTACGTTTCCAGAACATTTCTTTTGAAGCTGACATGTTCACGAACAGGCGAACATATGCCAAGTCGAGGAGAGGAACACTGTCGGCCGACAGCGGTCCCAGCCCAAATGGATTGGGGCGTTGCACACTGTGCTCTCGGGTGCGTTGCCATGCTAATTGCCATGCTTTTAGAGCAGGTTCAATGTGGCGATACATCTTTTCAGTTTCCTCAGTCCCCCACCTCCTGTCGACATGTCTCTGTCGGGTTTCCCACTACACTAGTGTCAGTATTTTTACTTCTGAGGACCTATAAACTGGATCAACATACAATGTAATTATGCAGCGCATTAATTAGAATCAGACATCCAAAAGTACTTGGCTTCAAATCACTCTGGGGTAAGTCTTGAGCATTGTGCCCATTTCCGAAATGTTGCGTTTGCGCTTGCTGATATTGCTGTCTATTGCCGGCTTGTAGTAGCTCGCCCAAAGCAGCTTTGAACGTGGTTTGATTGTGATTGGCCATTTTGGAACCACCCAGCGCATTGAAGCTATTTGCGGATTCAGCCGACCAGAATTCTTCGTTGCAAGGTAGGTCAGACTCGATCTCAGAGTTAGTTAAGAAAGGAACATGATTGATGGCCGACACAAGCATGCTAGAGAGTATAAAGATCGCGTATAAAGTTCGTTTCCTCTCCTCGGCGGTTTTCCACTGGTGCCACTCCTGTTCATCATCTAGAGTTTCTGTTTTGATGAAGCCATTCATCGCATCGTCGCCATTCATCATCCGTCCATCCTGTTGTGATGATCCACTTTGAGAAGACGATGGCGGCTTGATGACGGCATTGGCAAGGCTAACCAAAGTAGCACAGTGAATGAGAGCACTTTCGCCTGCTACTTTATCCCCGGAGTTGAAACCATAGATGATGTTCAACAGCATAGCCTGTGCAAGAAATACTGGTGTGTGAGTGGAGTTATCCGGGGCTCTTGAACGGTGGTCCGCTCTGCGAACATCAGCTTTGCGCCGGGCTTCTATGTATAGCTGTAGCATTTTCTTCGCCGATTCAAATAGCATCTTCGATTGTTGATGATCGCCTGCATATAATGCACCAATAGCAGCCATTGAAAGTGTAAGGCATCCAGGTCCTTCAACAGAAGTGGGAGCGCCTCGGCCATCATTTATAGGGGCCGAAAAATCGAAGTTAAGTGTAGGGATGTGCAAGAATGGTAAGTGTGGATGAAAGTACTGTATGTAGGCGCCAATATATTTTTTGAGATCGGATGTGCTGGGGAGGTGAAATCTAATGCCTTCGCTAACACTGTTGGCTCGGACTAGTGGTCGAGGAGAGTGAGGAGATGGCGAGCTTGCAGAAGGAACGGAAAACTTTCGTCCACCAAAGGAAGTATTATGGGCCAGGGCATTCGCAAGGGCCGAACGGGTAGAGTCTGTAACTGTGGACAAAGGTAAGCTTCCGTGGATACTGCCGGTCGTGGAATTGGGGGTCTCCGGGGTAAGAGTCATTGGGGGTTGGAAACCTTGTGTGTTGTTCATTCCGGGCATTGCAGAATGGTCCAAAGAACTCAATGGAGGCGGAGTAGCAAAGTATGGAAGATTATTCAGCGGTAGGCTGTGAGGTGAAATAGGGTTTCCGTTTGAGAAATGATCATGATTCTGGGCTAGAATATGTGGTGATATACCGTTTCCAGTAGAGAAATTTGCATGATTCTGAGGTACGCTATGTGGTGACATAGGATTCCCGTTGGAGAAATTTCCAAAATTTTGGTTACCATGATCCAAAAAGTTTGGTGTCATCAGAGGTGGTCCCGTCACAGCCTGGTGCCACATGGATGGTGAGCTTACAGCTATATTATTGGATCCATCCAGCATGATACCGTCACTGATCCCACTTTGACTGGCAGTACTGATTGCAGAAGGAGATGAACCGTCTATTATAGCATTTTCATCAAATGTCATATGCTGGGTAAAGGGTTAATCAAACCCGTTGAAACCATAAGAGTCATCCATACCCGAGTTTCCCGAGTAATCTGGGAAAGTGAAAATTGATGTCTCATTGGAATCAAGAACCATCGAATCCGGTGCAATCATTGAGTCTGATGTGATTATTGGTTCTGGTGAGTGATTGAACAAGGCACTAGGATCTATCGTCGGGCTAGGACTATTTCCATTTGGAAAGGAAAAGCCGGGTGAAAAGGTAAAGTCATGGTTCTGAAACCCTCCAGCGACCGGCGCAGTCCGCAATCCATTAAGCACCATAGGGTGATGCGTTTCAATCCTCGGCAACCCATGAGACATATTGCGGTTGTTCATTACAGAGGACATTCCACTCATTGGACTCATTCCGTGCATTCCACTATAATCAGAGTTGTGCATTGGTAGGTTCGCGAGACTAGCGTGACGACTATGACCATGGCTATGGCCATGATTTGAAGGATGAATTGAATGATTTTGATTCCTCACTGCATAAGATTCGTCTTGACCCAGAGCCATTTGCATGTAAGCACTTTCTGGATTTGTGATTGTATTTGCCCGTGGTCTCGGGCCCACTGGATTGACAATAGAGTGTTTTCGTACCCTGTTGAGGTTTGGTTTGCCAACGCCGGATACATTACTCATAGTGCTGCTTCGTCGATTTCTTGGTCTCGCAGGAGGTGTTATGTTTGTGTGCAGCTTCTGCTGGTGTCTTAACAAAAGGTCACTCCGCGCAAAGCATCTCTTGCACTCGTGGCATTCGAATGGCTTTTCTTTCGTGTGTGATCTTTCGTGTCTTTTGAGATGTTCCAGACGTGCGAAATGTCTTCCACATGTGTTGCAACCATGAGGTTTAGGCTTGTCGGTTTTTGATGGAAAGCCGTTGGGAGATTTGGGGGCAGTCGCCGTTGCAGATGCTGTCGATGCTATGGCTAATGTCAAAAGTTAATTAAGGCTTCTCCAGTACGAAGACAGTAGTGATATCTTTGATTGAACAGGTGATTTGTGTCCGAGTTGTGTATAAGATATGATTGCTACTTACCATTCTCCTCGCCATTCATCCCACCATTTGATTCAGCGCCGTTAGATGACGTCGTCTCAGACATGTTGGGCGATTGCTCTTGTTTGATTGTTGAATTATCCCCCATCATTGAAGAAGGCACCAAGACGAGGCTAAGATATATGAGAATGACTTCCTACGAAGGTTTGTACATGCTAGAGATTGTTCAATATTCCATTCGTTCCAGTGTGTGGAGAGTGATCGTTCGTGGCAAAGGTACGATGAATGGACGTTCAGACTTACGGACTTTCCCAATAAATCGAAACCTGGCGGGCTCTTTACTGGGGACTTGCAGTTCTTGATGCAGCGATGCCGCAATAAAAGCGCCCAAGCCTTTTTCCGTTGTTGCAACCTTCGGCCGTTGTAATCTTTAGCCGATCCGACCCTTCACTGCTTTCTCGTTTCTGCAGACCAGTAAATGAAGTTGGTGTAGGTGATTCTTCCTTTGACCAGTAAGTGGAGTGAATATCTGCAGGCCTTTTTCCGGCTGTATGTAGGTAGGTAGGTAGGTAGATTTCTTGGAACTTATAGAATTCGATGGTAGGAAGTATGAAGTAATATTAGGGTTCCGGCAGGAACAGTTTGAATATTCAAAAGTCCGACGAGGAATAAGAAATACTGGTGTCAAGTACCTAACTATGTATCCGAATACAAACAAACGGTGATTGAAATGGTCGTAGTTATGGTGTCTGTGGTTGTTGTGCTTTGGAGGGAAATGGATGTAGGATTGGATGGGATGTCGTGTAGGAGGTAGGTAGTTGAGATCCGGGGAAAGGCTGCGAGGTCTGTGAGGTAATAATACCTAGGAAGGTGGTAGGTAGGTGGTAGATACTAGGTACTAGCAGAGAATATCTTCTGTGCGCGCTCTGTGCGGACGAAATGCTAGAATGCTAGAATGCTATAACTGTACCAACTATCAAACTATTGTCTTCCTCTTCTAAGTGATTATCTATAAAACTAAAACCGGGATAAGAGATCAGTGAATTTTCTACTAAATCTTGTTGCCATTGAACTAATATGGAATGTTGGCTGAGAAAGAGAGAGAGAGAGAAGGGAAAAAAAGGTAGCAGATCGAGGATTTGTTTCTCAAGTCGTAGATACCTTCAGAAACGGCGAGATGGTTTTGGATAAGCCGTATCGATATGTTATTCTTGTCTCTGCCCCGTTATGACAGGGAAAATAGATGAGAGTTCTTTTGGTGGAGAACTAGGAACAGGATGATGAATGATACTGACCTTGACCTTGACTTGGGACCTTTCCACTATGGCCAATAACATAGATTGATTGAATATATATTAATATATTCAAGAGCAGTCATTGGTCACATCATATAATATGAGACGGCTTTTGTCTACCAGGTACAGGATGATGGGGTGGTGAATGGATCTCTTGGTGGAGACGGCGATGGTTGAACCAATTACCTAGTGGATTGATGATTTCTTGCTGTTTTAACAATAAAAAGAGAGTTCACGAGTTCTGAAGTCTTGCGTTCTTGTGTTCTTGTGTTCTGATATAAGTGAATGAATGTTTCGAAGAATTATCAGAGGTTCGATATGATGTTGATTCCTAAAGAAGGAATGATTGGTGAATTAGATCCCTCTTACATAGGTAGGGAGGTACCTCGATTGCTTTCTTCAATTGATATTGGAGTAGAAAGGGGATGCAATTGCGAAATGTATCAAGATGATGGTTCGTTGTGAAGGATATCAAGATGACAGATGAGATATTGGTACTAATAAGTATCATTGATCATGATACAGACAACAGTTGAAGTAGATAGATAGCTAATACATCAAAGACTCAAAATGACCTACTATTCGATATTATCCAATAGGATTATTAGTCATCCATGACTTCTTTATTAATCCAAGGTCTATTGAGTTGAATGGTTGGCTAATTTGATTGATTATGACAAGAATGAACGAAGGAAAGGAAGGAAGGAATGAACGAATGGGCTGATGAATTCATACTACCCCCATAGGTTTGGAAGTGTTAGCAAATCTTCCGGATTACAAATTTATACATTCATAATACATCATAGATAGAGTTTCCTTTGAAGAATTTGGGTCTGCGGGAAGGAATGGAAGTATTTCATATCGCTTCATCAAAGCACATAAGCACCAAGCGATTCAAGGAGAGCTCCTCTGCAATAAATCAAAGTGTTGAAGCTCTCTCTACATCTGTGCCATGTAGCTACACCAGATGCTGTCAGGCACCTGGGCAAATCCTCTACCAAATTACTAGACAGTCACTTGGTATACAAAGAATTCTTTCCCTCATTCGTCATCAAAATTTTCTAAGCATTTCTAAATGATTCATAACATTTTCATAGCCGTCATCATGTAGAGGCATTACAAGCACAAAGGAAAGGGTAGGAGCTGGTGGAGATAGTAAACGAATTCGGCAATTTGACCGAAGCATGATGATGAAAACGTTCAATATTTATCTTGCTAATCCTCAAAATTCATGCACCCAGTTCGATGGTCCGGGGAGTGGTTCGCCTCTTAATTGTTCATCCGTACAGAGACTCATTCTATCGCATCTGAACTCACACAAACGCCAAACATTAAACTCCGGCGATTCGTATATGATCAATAGCAATGGTAAGAATTGGGTCACGACGAGTAGCAATTTGGTTCTTCCTAATCATTAACCTCCCCCGAAAGTTTTAAGCCTTGGTAACGGTGTAGATTAGCTCTCGGCTCTCAACCATCAAGCTGCTGCATGTAGCACGACAGCTAGTCCATAATTATCAACCCTATCCGCAGTAGCATGTATCATCGTATCTAGATAGCTACGTAAAAGAATCCAGAATCCATGGTCCAGAATGTTTCGGGATGCCTAGATAGTACGTACCGCACACATCGGTTTTATCTATCAATCAGTAAACCGGGCCGTTAGATCAAGACATCCAGTTGCAAGCCAAACCCAACTCCAAGACACTTCCTGCGTCGTACGACATATGACAGAAACAAGAGCTGGAATCTCCGGAAGCAAAAAAGAGCATATCCAGAACTTTACTTACATTTCATTACTGTGCCGGGTGGGTTTTTGAGTTCTTTCTGAGGCCCCACCATCCTTCATTACACCTCGCCGCTCTTAACCGAGAGGTCCGCCCCTAATCCACAAATGCTGATGAAAAAACCACTGTGCAGAAATTAGAAATGCCTCGTACCACTCACAATAAGCCTGTACTAATTCTGCTTCTCCTTCTACTTTTCCCAATCGAGGACACACGGATGCATTGCCTTGAACAAGTCGAATATAGCTTCATCTATCTCAATGATTTGTACACCTCAATATCAATGAGCCACGAGACGATACACCAAAGGGCTGTCAAAATCTACCGATCCGTATATTTTACTTCGAAACACGATCAATGATCCGTCATCTCCACAATCATCCCTACATATTCAACTCGTGCTTCTCCAGACCCCGGACGGGTACATATCAAAAGCCTATCCTATATCATCAAAAGACCATGAAGTGATCCAAGCTTGTTTGTCCAACAACGATAAGATATCAAAATGATGCTTTAAAGATATTGAGGACGATATTACAAGAATTAGCTGTCCAGGTGCGTGGGTAGAGTTTGCCGTATTCTTCTTCATCTAGACCTAGACCTATTGCGAGTGTGTGCGTACCTTACGTACCGGTATGACGACAAAGGCTCAGGGAACGTTCTTGGACTTTCAACTTTCTCATTGGTTGATTTCGATCTTGATTATGATCATGTTATGTTTTCCATCGATTTCTATGGAAACATCAATCTCGAAACCATGTTGCGGAACGGCAAAAATTTCTATAAACGAACGCCCATACTAGTTCTTCCTATCGCCACCCCAAACTTTCAATACTCACCTGATATTCGTTGGATCTCCCTTGGAAACAAGCTCGATATCCACTCGGAAGCCGGCAAAATGATATTAAATTGTCAAATATACTACATACCCTATATCATGCTAACCATGGATATAATGCCATGCAATACAAATAAGGGTTGAAGACGTTTAGACATATGTGAGGGTATACGCCGCCACCACCCTCAAGGAAACATGGCAACACCTTGCCTTCTTGATCGAATAACATACCTAGTGGGACTTGGGAAAGAAGTCCAGATTCCATGAGACCTTCCTGGAAATACAATCGAGAATGAATTCTACCCTTGTTTCCCCAGCTTTCTTATTCTCTGGTCGCAAATGAATGGATGGGACGATATGTCAATATGTTCAACCCAAAAAGTCTTCTCCTAGCGAAACCAACCAAAGTGTTAATATTATCCGAACTGTGCAGGTATATACAGATGTAATATCGTATAACGCAGGCAGTGACTCCCTAGTACTGTCCAACCCAGCTGTTCATTGATTGGGACAAAATGCGCTGACAGTCTACCCACACCCACGAACCCCCCTTTGTGACCCAGACCTAAAGAATTGCATACCCTCAGCCTCGGCGAGCGGCATATTCCATCAATTCTAGGTCCTGCAGTGCCAAGATAACTCTGATTGGAATGAATTGATCGGATTAGATAGCTTGACATGTTGATGGTGCTACCAGTTACTCAAGTTAAGTCGGTAAGTACAGACAGAGCTGTTCGGCTGTGGAAACTAAGCACTACAACCATTCTTCACCAACACCAACACCAACAACCAACAACCAAGCTCTGAAGTTCTGAAATTCTGGAGTAGACAAAATCCCCATACATCCGAAAGTCTGGGGAAACATTTTTATACATGCCTACCCAGTATACCAACAAAAGTAACTTCATGGTACGCTTCAATCTCTCTTCATCCCCGAAACTTTATTTGGACTTGCTAATTCAATACCCATGAACTTTGAGACGTTGTTAAGAAATTGCTAAGATATAATTTACCAGGTTCTGCATACTTCAGCCGTCCATTACGAATTCACGATCGTGTTGCATTTCCATAACATGGATCACACAAGGGTAAGCTCATGATTCCTCTCATTCTTACAACGGTGGGGAGTATGTATGAGGCTTTAGTAGAAGAAGGCTTTCTGCATCTTCACTCTTCTAGATTTCTTGTGCCTTTTTCTTACCTCTCACACCCACAAGCTAAGAATGAAATCACACCCTCCACGCAGTATCATGCACCTATATAAAAGCCTACATAACCCATGAAACTACCTGCGCAAATCCGAGATTCACCCGCTGCCGAACCTCACCTCCGACCAACAACTTTACCCCAGAATCACCATTTGGGAAAACGGCACGTCTATTTGGACTGGGTATGCGACCAGGGAGCTTCGCTAGTAACATCTAAACCCCTGTTCAGCACCCTAGTCGTCGCATGAATTTAACTTAATTTTAGGACCTGCTGACTTCCTGCGCAAATATCTAGTCTGGCTTTGAGAGAAAAAAGGGAGGAAAGGTACCAGAAATTTAAATTAAGATGCAGAGAGGTGACACTGCAGTATACCCATCAAAAATGTATGTATATACCAATCATGAAAGATTGACCATCACGTCTGATAGATGCCATAGGATATACAAATGCAGCCCGCATGCGAGTATTTTTCAAAACGTCAAGATGCATATGGTTGTCAAGCTACATTACTCAATTTTCCCACTAAGAAGCAATGGCGTGAAGGAATCAGACCCCCAATTCATCTCATGCTTCCTTTTCTGCTAATACAAATGTTAGCTTTGGCTTGCAGTTTGTTCGGGATATATCCAAAGCTTGGCTATCCCAAATAGTGGGTTCATACTACGATCCTTTCGTCGGACTTTGGAAAACATACATAATGCCGATTTTTGGAGAATCGGTTCATGAGAGTCTTGTGTGAGAAATGGATTCAATATAGAGAAGACTTGTTAAATCCTGAAACAAATAATGTCTTCGATGAGTAGTCTAGGTGGGAATCTTAATACACTCACTCCAAGTATCAAGTGTCTACAGCGGCAACCTAACCCACCGAACCTTATCGAGTACGAGATACATTACCATTCTAGGATAAAAGTAGCTTGCTAAAACTCGCTTACTAAATCCACGAAGGAAGTAAGTATCCTGTCTTTCTTTTCCTGTTCGGGAACTGCAGAATTCGAAAAGTCGTGTCGATCACATCAAGATCTACATTCAATACATCTATAGTAGCCTTCATGAAGTTCGTAAGTGTACATACGACGATGAACTAACAAACCGCATCTTTAGTTCCGTGGCGCATTATCTGTTATTATTTATCACTATTTATCATTATCATTAGTGATTGATATTGGTATCGGTATTGGAAGCAAAACTTGTAAGATCTTACATATCTAGATACCCTCCCCCCTGCGAAGAAGTCTGCGCAGAATGTGATCCAGAATAATAGTCTCAATTACTCACTGGATTTACATTTACATCCTAGTGAGTGGCGAGCATCAATGCTCTGCTCTGTTCTCCTTTCTTGTACAACGAAATCGTTCAGTGACGAAGATTGTATCAAATTAGATAAAATTCTCGCAATTCAAAGTAGGAATAAGCGCGCATTCGGCATTCTTCTCATACGTTTCCATATCATGCTATACTGTGGAATTATGTGAAAGATGTTGTGTGGTACGGAAAATGTATCATTCAGAACCACAACCTCCTTTCTCTGATCTCATTTCATTTCATAACACCATTCATTCATTCATTCATTCATTCATCCATCCTTTCACTCTGATCTACATCGTCAACTATCCAGATAGTCGTCTCACCCAATTCAAGTCTATGCCCATCCACCACCAGACCAGCAGCATCGTACATCCCATGAAGACTCGCATCTCGAGACATTGAGCGTCGCTTATCTTGCCGCACGGAAGACTCAGGGTCCGTATGCCAATGACAAGTTAGGTACTCGTTCGAGGCGCGGCTGCATCATTCTCTCCATGCCGATGTGATCGGCGCTGATACGCGTGGATATGTCGATCGATGCATGTCGATAGCTTTCAGGGACCGATGGTCTTTGCAGTTTCTGTATTCCCACAAGTTAGTTTACTTTGCGGGTGAGAGTACGTTGCTACTCCTTGTGCTGGTGTCAGGGGAAGTCTGTTTACAGAATTCCTAGACTCAGAATCGATGGATTATGAAGATAGAGGGGAGACAATCCTACAGCGTTCTCTCTGCAGTCTACTAGTGACGTGACGATACCTGCACATCCGCACATCTGCAAATCTAATGTACGATATCCTCCCATCATAGCAAGTCTTACTACCTCAATATTGCTTTGATTATAGTACCAAAGTATTATGTAAGACTACAATAGTTTGACACGGCTGACTACGAGCCTACGGAGAAGTATTGAATCTTCACTTCCGACTCCTGTAATTACTAGACGAAATGAAATTGATGATTTTGTAGGCATGATACTGGTAGAAGCGAGAATCCATGTATCATCTCACTATGTACGATCTTCTATTTCTCTATTTCTCATTGCTCAAGTCCGCATGCTTGATGCACTTTTTTAAGTCACTTGCCTACTTTTGAAATACCTCTCGAGTCGGCTGCTTTCATCCCTCTATTACTTTCACACTGATCCTTCATTCGACGACCATCATATTTCTAAGTAAGAAACTGTAATTTTGATTCTAACCGAGATCCTTTCATTATTGTACTCACCTTACAAAAGGTATTAGACATTGTAAATCAAGGTAGTGTGGCCAACTAGAAAAGGTCTCTTTGGAGATATTTACCCATCATCCACCCGCGGGTGAAAACTTACAATCTAATTCAGCTCTGATCGATATCATCATTGCATGAAATGGTATATACATGCTAGCTGGTCTCTGCGATAAACGGCTCACTAGAACTTTGTTACTCTCAATCAAACCCCTTCTTCGAGAAAACTAGTTGAGGTTTTTAGAAATCCATCTTTGTGTCTAGGGGTTGTGGAATGAGGAGTGGGTATAGTGGTAAATGGATACTGCGATCCAATTGTTCGAAAGAATAAATAATGAGAGATCTCCAGCATGCGGTGACCTCTTAGCGAATATACAAAAGAATATTTCAAGAATATTATAACACGAGACAACAATGTGAAGATCCACTCCTTTAGACCTTTCATCTTCAACCTTTATCCCTCATAGGTGAGCGTGAATAGATCAACAACCACCACAACCCCATTCTCCATTTCTCCATTTTCCCATCCCACAACATAGTGAAAAGGAACGGAATTCGAAACGAAAAGCGGGAATATCTGTACACACATATTTGGGACAAGTCCGACCGACTTCATAGGCTACAAAGCGTATGGAAAATGAACTAGGAAGTTGATCATACCACCGAGCTTAGAGAAATTCGGCAGCAGAAACTTCTACTCAATCTCACAAGCAGCATACATATCTACTAATTAACAAATATAATAAATCTTTGCAATTTAAGTAAGTATCCCCGCAGACGCCACGTGGAATTAACACATTTCGACCCAAAAGACACTACTACGTAGATTATTTCTAGCACCCAGCCTTTGATATGCTTTCCAGGACGCTTTTCAGAAGCTACCTTGTATATGAAGGGGTATAGATATGCAATAAACTAACTCATTTCTTCCAGCTTCTAGCATGTAATTGGAGGGATTATATGGTACTAGTAGTAAGTCACAAACGGATTTGAGCTACCAGAGACTACCGTGTAGATTATTTCTGGTGTGCTCACTTCCTATACGCTCGACAGGATACTTGTCAGGATGCACGATAATTTGAGAGTTGTACATGTAAAGAGCACAGCAAAACTATTCCCGTTGGTCCTGAAGAATATAACTGGGATATGTAGCTAGGTGGAGAGAGACAAGGGGGAGAAGAGGTGATTGAGAAGCAGGAATTGGGAACTAAGAATTGAGGAAATGAGAACGGAAATCAGGAATGGAATCGAAAAATTGGGAATAGAGAATAGATATATCCATCTACCTGTGCACTTTCTTTCTTCAAGGTATGATTAATGTATCATATCAGCTCCTAGTCAGTAGTTTGAACTTTAGAGTATCTTTCGACCAGGGCTAGCAGTTCGCAAAGATCGGGTATGAATGTGCATTGTGTGATGGGAAACATAAAATCCAGATGCGATGTTCTTATCTGTTTCATCTAGACCTCGAGTAGAAGTTGGGGATGAGGAGTTACTGGATGGATCTACGTGCAGTATACTCGCTTACTTGCTACCACCGAATACAGAGATACGATTTTGAAGCTTTTGCGTATGTGATATGATATATCGAGTCTCGACACTGGATCTTTGTCGCCATACTAGCTTATCTTTTCTTTCCTCTTTTCCTTTTCTCAGTTTTTTCTTCCTCTATAATATCATCCTCTCGGCGTGTTCTCTCCTGCTGAGTTGGGGGGAGAGGGAGGATTGTGAGATATAAGGGGGCGGGTTGATTTAGCATATAAAAGTAAAAGAAAGAGACCTCCCAACCTCATCGTCTCCATCTCCATCTTTATCCCCAACTTCTCGCTCTTCCATTCCATGCATGTAATTACACATTCCAAATACAGTAACTCTAGCTCCGAAAAGAGGGCTAGCTAGTTAGATTCTATCACTCATCTTCATCACTATCAAGCTAAAGCCAATATTTTCTCTTTACTCTTCACTCTTCACTCTTCACTCTTCACTCTTCACTCTTCACTCTTCACTCTTCACTCTTCACTCTTCCCAAACCATCTCTTTTTCTTTTCTTTCCTCTGCTAAAGCCAAGTCAACCTATCTACTCCATTCCCTCCCATTCGATACCTCTTGGTGTATCTCAGAGAGGAGAGTATACGTATTGAGTTTAATGATACCTCGAGTCTCTGAGTGTGTGATTACGTTCTTGCTTTTACTTTTGCTATCGCTACTGCCCATTCGTATTAGCAGTACATATATTCATCTGTGGGGAAGCGAGCGGATGGTCAGTCATATCGAGACTAATCAGGTAAATCATAACTTCACTTCCCTTGCTCATTCTTTTTTCCCCTTCATACTGCAGGTCATAGATCCGGGGTGATGGAAGAGTAAGGTATAGAAGAGTAACTTTTAATATACATGTGCACATATCATACAGTTGAAAGTTACACGGTACTGGCTCTTGAGATTACTTTGATTATGAATACTATTTTATCAAGACTAGAATGCGAAGAAGGGAAGTCAAGATTAAAGAACCTGCATGAATCAACTTCCCTCTCTAATTATTTATTCACATTCTGAGTCCTTCTAGATCGGTCCACCTCGACCTAGACAGTTGGAAACCTATCAGCTAAAAAAAGTGTCTTGTTCTCTGCAGATGAGTGCACCGCCCCAGAAGCCACATTTATTACGTTTATTTCATTACGGAACTTCTTAGCCCACTATCTCAGAGTTAGAGATCTGGAGTTATGATCGTGAAGGCTCTTTTATTTTTTCTTAAGACCCAACAAACAATCATTGCGTCATCAAGCCCGGTTAAAGGCCTAAAATTAAAACCACGAGTATAGCAATCATTTATCCGTTGCGCAAACTTCAAATTGTTCTCGGCTATTAGGAAATTCCGACAAAAGAATGAAGCCGAGAGGAGCTAGCGGTGAAGAGAGCCCATATGGAACGAAGCAGATGAGTTGAGTGCATGCCAGTAGATACCAAATCAGCACAAATTGATGTACGTAAGATTGCTGGAAATTGATCGACGTGCCCGCGAGGTAGAAAAAACTACTTCCATTCTCGGTGCTTTCTCTCTCTGTCTTGCTGCCATTGACAGGTTGTCAGAAACTGCACCTTACACAGTAAATCGACTTGGTCGAAAAAAAAGGGTGTATAAGAATTGAAGATGGACAGACCTACATAAATTTGTAATAAAAAATAGTAACAATTTGGGGATTTTGGCAATACTCATTTGACGTATACCCTTGGTCAAGGACCAATGTATCTTGAATCTTGCTCAAGGATATTAACCTCGCAAAGTCTGGTTGAGGAATGTAGCAGTGTGTAAAGAGATAATGCTGACAAAGCAGGAAGAATCCCATGGCTAAATATTCATGAATAATACGGTGTAACTGACTGGGAATATCGAAATGGCTTACATGCATAAGCCCTTCTGCCAACTCTCATATTCATGAAGAACTTTCTTGACCCGCCACAATCCGGGTGCTTTGCATTGAATGCATTCAAATCCATGTGGAGAACGGAAACTGCTCAACGCGCATCACCCCAGCATTAAACCAAAAATATGCTGCACGAGATGATTATTGTACATCTCAACCCCACTCTTGAAGCATCCGCTCATTCCGCCATATTCGATGCTCGAGACATGCAACATGGAGGACAATCTTGATGCTAAAGATTTCTTTCAGTAGGGTTGAGCTTTTGGTCGTTGTACTAGGGCATAATATGCCGGGGCACGTGGTCATTAATATTGGGCATCAATCCAAATCTTTGCATCACAGCACTCCTATTGGTTTTGGTACCCACGGCCCTTCCCAGCGCGACCAGCCTTTCTCCGTACTATTCGCAAAAGATTTGTCGTCTTTAGGTATTTGTATGGATGCAGCGGCAGTATCCAAATCATGTTCCATTTTCACCATTCCCGCTCGGATATCGTTAAGATCTCGGGCGGTTGTATTGGGAACAGATGTGCTTTTCCTTTTAGGAGATTTAGATTCTTCCCAATCAGATATCTTCTGTCGGAAATTGTGCGCTTGTAATATCGTCATTGGGTCTTCTAGAGATTCCTCCAGTTCACCTAGCGCACGAAGAAGGTCGTCTATCCCGTAGGCTTCAAGTCGATCCTTAATCATATTCAGATTGATTCCTTGATCCTTCCGCTCTAGAACCCCTCGTACGAATATCTTGCAATCATCATCCTTTTCATTGATTGATAAATCTGCCCAGTAAAAATCCCAAATCCACTTCAATGCTTTGCGCGCAGCTATTCGAAGTTTAGGAAGTGATGGGAGTTCTTCGTGGGTAGCCTGATGCCGAAGTTCGACGTATGTAGCTGGTAGACCGATTGTTTTCGCAATTGAGTACATACTTAATTTGCGACGTTTATCTTGATGACTATCTAGGAGACCTGTAACGAAACTAATGACCAAGCATAAAATGAATAAGTCGGATGTCATAAGTGAATAGATCATGAGAATACTTCAACGTACCGACAGAAAGCAGCAGAATAAGCAGCTCTTACACAATAGGATGAATTTCCAGGAACATCATTTAGAATAGCTGAAGTAATGATCGCAGAGGACTCGACGAGATGCGGACAATTTCCTCGTTGCATCCATACGGATATGAGGCAGACGGCTTGTCGACGATAAGAATCATTAGGAGGGGTTGTCTCAGTATTTTGGTAAAGCTTTTCGCGCACTTGGAGAAGCTCGCGACGCGTTCGCCAGGGCGTAATTACGAATTGAACCATAGTTTGTTCGTATTTAGAAACTAGGTGGAGAAGGATGATGTTTGGGAAAGATACGTCGAAGAAGGGTGGAGTCGTTGTGTTGACTTGCGATTGTATGAGAAATGTTTGAAGTTTATCCAAAATATTAATCAGAGCTAAGTTGCTTGCTAAGATGCCTCAGGATGTTCAGGAAAAGTCTTGAGGCTGCCAGGCCACTGCCCTCCGTGTGATCTGAAAGCCGAAGTTTTTGCGCTGAGACTAATCACTATCATTAATAAGCTTACGTACCCAATGGGAGTGACAGCACGTGTATTGATTGAGATTCACGTGCTCACCAGCACTTTTTAATGAGGATCAAAGAATTTTGTCTTGTCTGTTAAATCCGAAAATTCATTCGGGGGTATTGATATTGTGTTGAGCTATCTATATACATATACATATCAACCTCTTGGGGAGATACTTCCTTCACCTGTTGGCTTTGTTGAATACAAGTGCCTAGCAGGAATTTGATATATCCCATCCCAATATTGAGCCTGTGCTCATTCCAGTCATTGCTGACATGATCCTATAGTTTCCAATGCTCCAATGTAGCTAATCCCAATACCCAATCCAATCCAACTCCATCGCTAAATTTCAAAGTCATAAAGTTTTTCCCATCCAAAGTTCCATGCTCCTTTCAATCAGATCCAGCCTGCATAATTCATTGCGTAACTTCCATCGAAGTCGGGGAAGGGCTGTGTAGTGCCCATCATATAAGTGGTAGTATCAGCCAGTTGTGTAGGTCTCTCGGGTACAACTTCCTCCTCTTCTTCATCTTCCCCTTCACCATCCTCCTCGTCATCTTTGTCGTCGTCCTTCTCAGCGGGTGGTTGCCATGTCTCCTCCAGCTTCAAGCCTTTACCAGCTCCTTCGGGTCGACGATAACTGTTGCCTAGAAGATGTGATGACATCATTCGGTAGTTGTCAAGTTGAGGATCTGACAATGTCATCTTGCTATGGTCTGGAGTATCGTACAATCCCATACCAATCAACTCCTCACCCTCTGGTTTGTCATCAGACAGTGGGTGATATGGTATCGATTCCTCTGGAGTGAAGGTGGGTTCAGGATGTTGAATAGGTAGAAAGTTATCTGGTGTAGGTGGGGCGGTACCATCCTCGAATCCATTTGCGGCAAAGTTGTTCCAATCAAAATGTGAATACATTGTTGGATCTTGGTTGTTGTTTGTGTATGGAGCCTGAACAGACATCATATGATTCTCTAATGGTGTAAGCTCTGGGGTGTATGCCTGATCGAGTGGGTATGAGGTAGGTGCGGTGTCGAATGGGTATGAGTCTTGATGATCCTCACTGTAAGGCATTGACATGGGAGAAAAGCTGGAGTCTGGTGATCCGTATCCTGAGTAGACGGCTGGTGTTGAGGCATCAAAGTTGTAATACTCCTGGGAATATGGGTATCCACTGGTGGATTGTACTGGTTGGTACATCTGTTGTTGTGTGGATGGATGCCAACTAACAGGACGATTAGATCTCATTGGCATCTGTGTTGGAAGTCCATTGTTCGATTCCCATTCGTTAGTCGTCATCATTTGTTGCTGTTGCTGTTGTTGGTTGAGCATCATCATCTGTCGTTGGTATGAGCCATCTGACATGAGAGTCCTGCGTCGGTTCTGTTTTATGGAGCATCGTGGGCTGTTGTTGGTACTGTTCGGTTTGAGAACTCGCATTGGTGCCATATTTCTCTGTCCATTTGACATAGATAATCGATTTCGAGACTGTGAAGGTTGAGCCATTTGCCTCGAAACGTTTTCCAGGAACATCCGAACATTGTCATCATAAGCCATCATGTTCGTTCCATATGCTGAAGTAGCATAAGCTGAATCCATTTTGTGATATCGTACAAGAGAGAAGATAGTATGAAAGAGAATGTTTGCAAGTTGAGGAGGGGTTGGTGGAGGTGTTTAAGGTAGTATATGAACTAACGTCAACTGGACGTTAGTAGTCTAAGTATCATAGCCTTGATATGAATTGAACTAGAGAATGCTAAACATAAATTATAGGAAAAGACCCTACTCAATCTTCCATGTGAGGATTAAATATCGGCAGTACAAATTTGAAAGACCAATATGCAAGTGACTTACCGTAAGGTTGCGGTATGTCGTCTGTGTCATCTGGCTGATCCCACGAATGTGTAAGGATTAAATCATAGGGAATTTACCGGGTCTGAGCTTCTTCTGGGGATGCTAGACACCAGGGCTTTGTTGGCGGTCAAAAGTCAAAGCCCCTGGCTTGCAACATACACAGATTCCAAAAGCCAGCGGTACAAAGGAAGACCAGGGGGTAAGCTACATCCCGCGGCTGGATACATATCGCGTACGAGGCTCCTTCGCCCTAGGTGTGTGGTAATCAAAAGGGTGCGTGTCAAACGATGAATCAACTTCCTAAACAGGAGAAACTTGCTTTGCGAGGAAGAAGGGCGAGAAAAGGCGGTCAGGTTGTATCAGCACAAGGGTGGGATGAATTTCCATTTTTCAAGGGTGTATATATCAAGTAGCCGACGGGGTCCAAAAATGCCAGATGCCACTCTTCTTGATGTGCTTTGCATGGGTGCGATGAACCTTTAGCATAATTAGTATATCAATCTAAGCCAAATATGTGGCCTTCCCGTACTGACGCAGCGCCTTTGGAAATTTTTGTATGTGGATATTTTCGATACTGTCGTTAGTGCACATGTTAAATTATGGAATTTAGTCAAATTCTCGGCCCCATCGATGGTCCATCACAAAACGTGGGCAAGCTGGGCAAGCATTCCAATGGCTCAACCTAAACTCCGTACTCCGTACATGAAGAACCCCTCGGTCATTTAGTTTATGAGGAGGGTCATTCCATTGGGAAGCCTCGAAGGTTCACTGGTACTAATCTTGTGCTAACCAACTATTAAAAAGACGGCTCAGGTAATAGTAGCCTAATTAAGAGTACGTATTGCAGCTCAGTGCAGGTCAATACGATTAGGTAGAACCGCACAGGACTGGCAAAGCAGAACAATAGTACGAACAATGAAATGCAGTGCTACCGACCAACTGCAATGTATCTAGACCTGGCATGGTCATGATACTTAGGTAGGTATCATGAAGCATCTAAGTGGCAAACGCGACTCATTCTACATACCCCATATTGTATCTAATACACACTACAAATTGAATCTTGGCTAATATGACTTTCCGAGCTCACCGCGTAATATTTTTTCTTTCTCAAAGATGTGTATGGCATAAGCTATCAAATGAGCGAGTACATTGTCAAACCAATCCTGTCAGATACTCCATATATTAAAATTCTGATGAAATGCAGATGGGGTAACGCACATTTTCCTTTTGCCTTATTGTATAACACCAACACACGCTTTGTACGCTATATTCGATATGGGAAAGAAGGCGAGACTTTTGACGGCGGAGAGAGTGGGGCAGCGGTAACGCGAGTAGCAGCAGCTAACTAAACTTATTTTGAGTACAGTCATAATTTGGGAATGGGATGATGCAGAAATAAATCACCGACCGTTCAACATCCTTGAGATCCAGGTTTGCGTGGAAAAACTTTACATGTATTAGTTAGTCTGTGCTAGAGTTCGCTAAGTAAGGATAATCGATTAGATGTGGATGTGGATGGATCTTGTTGCGAACAATCCATGAACCAGCCACCATAAAAGAAAAAGTGCTAGTCACGAAACATCCAATGATATGCATCGACCAGCATCGAAAAAGTCTCTTTCTGAAACTATGAGCCACAGTTCCATTAGTGTGATAAGTAAGAAAACTTCAAAAGACTCGGATGGAACCACTTAAGGAGCGAAGTGATAATTTCAGGTGCGTCAAGAATTGTCAATCGTTATCCCATCGTCACGAAAGCACGATGATATTAAAATATTGGTCATTGCCATTCTTGTTCGACGGCGTTTCTAAGTTTGAGACCAAGGCGCCCAAATTATATATGTGTGGGTGGAAACCTATGCTAAGTTACAGCGGTAGATTTTCTCGGATATCAATTTTCCATGATCCATGGGCTTCACGGGCTTATGGTTATCACATAATGCAAATGCACTATGCATATCGAGGCCTAATCAGCAGCCAGAAGGCAAAGCAATCATTAATGCACAGATTCAGCAACTTCATTGATGGAGCATGAACCCGCGGCGAGGTACAAGCCAGACGCACAAGTACAAATTGCATGCATGTGCAATAATAACTAAGACCGGCATGTAGTAAGCAGATCATCCATAATAATGAGAAGTAAAAATGTCTTAGACCCATGTTGGCATGCACTGGTCGGAAGCAGTCTCGATGAGGCTTCGTTTGGTCATCGAAGACCCTAAGAAGGGCGCTTGAATTCCAAGGGTTGTGTTTGTTTGTCTTAATCGCCCCTTACCCCCTCGTTACAACCAGTCCGTGCTTCTAGGATTCTTCAGAATGAAGCTGCCAAGCGTTGAATTATTCGATACGTTCCCTACCTTCACGGAGCTTATATCGATTCGAAATGCACTAAACAACTAAATATGTTTCGCAAGGGACATGACATTGAAAAAGCAAAGCATGAAAATGCTACAGCACCCCAGGCGGTGAAACCGATTAGGTGTTAATTTGGCATGTATAATAGTCATCCAAGTAAGTGATTGCTTTTACAGTATCAAACCACAATTCAGGATGATCTATCTGTTCTTTAGACAACACGCACGGAAATGGCGGCGAGGATATAGTGCTTGCTACCTACCTAGCTTTCAACCTCAACCTACGTTGATACCCTCCCTTATGTGGAGTCAACAAATCAACAATTAGATGAAATTTTCTCTTGCATCTCTTTACTTTCGAGCTTTAAACCAAAAGGGGCCATAATCGGAAATTCTTGTCTAGTGTATCATACACTGTGTATGCTTGTGCGACCACCCCGCAATAATCCCAGTTCACCAGTATATGAGCCGGGCCCTTGGAAACTTGTACTATTACAAGAAAAAGGCTAGCTCGCTAGTACGAAAT